CCCCCCCCCCCCTTCCAGCCTGTGTCAGAGTTCATGTGTTATAGCAAAACTGCTGCAAAATGAGGGGTTTCAATGTAATACTGTATTCTCCACTGCGAGTTTATTGATCAAACCTCCTAATTTAATGTGAGATCGTTAGAGAACTAGATTAATTTTTCAATGTGCTTTTAAAAAGTGGACTCAAATGTTCATCATGCTGTCTTGTGTTTTGTGCATGCGGAAACTTCACATGTAAATTACAAAGAGGATTGACAAAAGTCGATTGGCTGATTAGCTGAAATATTATCCACCCTTGCTGTCATCAAATGAATATGGCAAAACAAAACACTATGCTGAATGTTAAAAAATCGTTCAAAACTCCAAGTACATTTGCAATGCGCAGGTTCTTTCATTCATCAAATTCATTAGAGAGGCAGGATTAATTTTTTTCAAAGTATAGAACAAAGGCAGGGATGTTAGACAGGTGGGAATATTAGAGAGGGCAGAAACAAGCAAAACAACCCAGCAACAAACCGGTAACAGGCTGAACAACCAGCCACAAACCGAACAACCTTTGAAATAATTCCAGCAGGGAGGTGTGAATAATCGAACTCTCCATGTCCCGTATGCTATGTAAATTACCTTGTGTCTTTTTTATAGTTTGGTAGGTCATGGCCAGTGTGATTTTATTGAAACATTATCTCAGGAAAACAATTTGGACTTTTGGTGTACCAGCCCTTGACTGGCCTATGTGATGTCGATTCGAGGAAAAGAGGAGAGTGACTAGTAAAGTGACAATGGTTTAGGAAAAATCTTTTGGCATCTCAACCCTGTCTTATTAAAAATTGCCAAAAGGATACCCTGTTCCATAAAAGAATGCCAAAAATATGTTGCAGTTATGTCAATGGGTAGTTTGCTTGTTTTTGAGTTGTTCCACTTGTTCCATGTTTATAACTGGCAACAAAACCTCTGCCTATACAGCATAGTGCACTTTATGTCAGACCAATACTTTAAATGCTGTGGAGTCTTATAGAAAATAAATATTTGCCTGTGCTGCCAGTAAAACCACTGATGAATTCTCTTCTCATATGACATGGTGCAATATATTCACTCTGTTAGAATAGAAAATAAACTTAATATAAGAAATTCATGAAGATGCTTTGAATGAAAAGAAGGACCAAATAAATAAATTGTTCATCTATGCTATGGCTTTGATGTGGCTATGATTTTGACCATAGATAAATTGTATTTCAAACAAATCATATAACAAGAATAAGCATACATTAAGATATCTTGTGAAGAGATTTACAACCCGGGGTTTCACTTCAATTTTAAATGCTTGAGGCAAGAAATATTCTTGGGTTCATATGAAAGCTTCAAATTCACCTGATGGGAATCCCCTGATGGTATGATGTATGCACTGATAGCCTCAGAAACATAATTTGTGTTTTTCATGAGCTGCCTCAATCTCTTAAGCAGATGACCAGTCGGCTTTGCCATATCTAGTAAAAACTGAGTTTTTCCTAAAATTCAATAATGAAACTTCATCAATTATCACTGTGTCATTAGGTACAATTACAAAACATGTTTTTCTGGTTAAACATTTGCAAGAAACTTTCTAAAAGATGGCAGCATAGTATAAACTTTACTTGTCACTTGAAATACTTAAAGAAGTGGCTCAGTCCACCAGACCTGTCAATCTAGGTGAAATACAGGCAGATCTTAAAATTTGTTAAATCGTTTAAACAATATACTTGTAAAAATTTGTACTTGGCAAACAGCTAATGGTGAGAAAAATCGGGGGTGCAACCCTTAAAAGATAGTGGGGACTCGGCTATAGGTAACTTCAAGAAATCACCCATATGGCTACACCCAATTTACTTGCAATTGTGTTAAAGAGATATTTTTTGCATATAAAATAATGTCACAGTGATTTTTAGTGTTTTTTGTTGATCCAGGAGACTGTGAGAAAGCAAGAAAATCTTTTCATAATCCTGGAAAAACCAGGGATTGGCATATATCTGGTCCACACTCTGGCCTCCACTTGTTCCTTTATTTGACATAAAAATATTTGTTTTCTCTGCTTAATAACAATATTTAAGTTTATTTTGCAGCGTCTTGCTACGCTGCAGTGACCGCAGAAAGCCCCCCATCCCCAGTGATTTTCAAAACAGTACTAAAAAAAAAATTGTTGTTTAGCCCCCAAAAATCTTGCTGTTTAGCCCTTCTAGCGGTCCTCGGTTACATCTCCTTGCTTACTGTGGCAATAATTAGCAATTTCATACCTTTAAGTGGTCTTAACAAAACAGTCCTGTGTCTTGAACCGTGTCTTTTCAGCCAAGCAGCTTTTTTGAATCGATGATATTTTCAAACTTTTCACACCACACTATCCACGTTGAATATTTCTCTACCATTTCGACCGGACCTCGAGTTCGATCATTATGGATTTTTGGATTATTTTGTTTCGAATACTGAATGATGATGTCACGGGGATTATATGCAGAGGATGGGTCATGGGTCTTGGGGGGGGGGGGTATCAAATACTATCATTTGAGGGTAATTTTTAACATTTAAGCTTTGGCCCCCTTTGACCTTGACTAGACCCCCCTGTTAGGCCATAATGGGAGTAGCCCCCCCCCCCCCGAGGGAATTTTGATTAATCGCAGTAAGAAGTTTCGAGTAAATTCTGGGAAAATTGTCAAGAATCAAGCACGTAATATAAGCCCATGTATCAGCAGAAAGTTTATAATGTATCCTAAACTCGTCCGCCCACAAAATATGAAGCTTGTGCAGGACCCTTTTTCGTCAATCTTTCTAACATAGATTCTCTAAAAATTTCATCATATTTAGCTGACTTTCAACTCTAACAATGAGCTAACGAAAGATTAGATAATCCCAAAAAAATTAAAGGCATTGAGTCATGGTAAATAGGCTTTCTCTATAGGGGGTAATTTGGTTACGGCGTGATCGCTGCTGTTTCATGTTATATTGGCATCCGTTGTTGACAACTTGCTATTGATGGAAACTGTTATGTTAATCAGTACGAGGTGAGTTCATGTGACCAGTTCAAGGTCAACCAATAGCATCGCAGTCATGGAAATCATGACTCAGCGGATTTTGGCACTTAGGGTATACCCAGTCTATTTATCATGACTCAATGCCTTTAATGTAATCCTCGATGGATCATTATGTTCAGATTTCCCATCTTATCTTTGCCAGGGCCCGTGCCACTTTTCTTGCTAACTATAGGTATTAAATATCCCATTTTTTTTACTCTCCCTTGCCTTAATCAAGTGTAATTTTTGATGAAAATATGTTACTGAAAGTGGTAATCAAATTTCATTTTTAAATCAAAACATATAGAGTATTCAAGCAGAGCAGTTACGTGATATCGCTCTACCATTCTGAAAGCTAAGTCGAATCCAAAATAATTGTAAGAATCAGATGTTTTTATCGTCTACTGTGCTTTACTCTTTGATACAAATTATAACCATGAAAAATCCAAGAAAACACAGCACGTAACACAATTTTTCGAAGCAAACCTTGGCCTCCAGAGACTATAGAAGGAACTGAAACAACCCAAATTTATTTCCACTTTTAAACTAGAAATATATTTTTAGCTTTTTCTTTAGGTAGTTGAACGCTTTTAATGCCCAATCAAAAAGTGCTGTTGTGGTTTGCTGATGGCTTTATATAGAAAGAAGCAGTAAGCAGCAGCACCACCGTGAAGAAAAAGGGGGTTTGGGCTCAGTTTGGAGCAATCCTATACAACAAAGTTCTAAGTTGGGCATTCCTTCATACATAAATATACGAGGAAGAAACAACAGCCTTTCTGTATTACAAAAGCTCAACATGGATTATTTTATTAATTCTGTACTGTTCTCGCAAGCAAAAATGATAAAAAAGGACCAATTCTTACACAGTAGATTTTAAATTAAGTTGCCATTGAAAAAATAGGGAACCCCTCCTAAGTGTCCTCAAAACAGGAGACCCCTCGGGTTTACTTTTCTTATCTGACATGTTGCATATGACAAATGGGCAAAATGATAAATATGTCGCTATAGCTGTCCAGCGAGTCTGGTTACATATTAGTTTTTTTAGATTGTGAGGAAAGCGAAGAGGAAAAGTAATTATGGAAATTCCGAAATTAAATCACGTACATTTGCAGTCACAACTTGAGAATTTTTCAACCAAGGGTAAAGCCATGTAGAGAAAATTTGGTATTTGTGGGCAAAAGATCACGAAGGTTGCAACATGGAAACAACCAGATATCACCGCTAGCATTTAGCCTACATTTATGATTAAACTGCTACATTGTATGATTCAGAACTGGCCGATACCGCACACTGGGCATTGAATTATAACTGTGTCATTAGGTCACACTGGCGTCCGAAGCCGGTTCCAGGCAGCCCCCATAAACCTTTAAAGTTTATGCTCCAAGATACATGGGATGGTATCTGATTAATACCATTCTAGTCTATTGTACTTTCTCTATTTCATCCATTCTTAGTTGTATGAAACCAAATCATTTGCTGATACCAAACAAGTTGCAAATGTTCGAAACTACCAATTCTCTTCCATTGGATCAATATTAGATATGAACATTAAATCAATATATTATCTATCTGGTAAAGTCAATCATTGCATTTTCCTAACCTTCACCTGGACGAATACTTTCAATTTAAACATGTTGACGAATCTTTTGTTCTGAAAGAAGTAGGTCGTTTGAAAACTAGCAAGGCCTTAGCACTCGAGAAGATAAGGGATCGGAACCCCCCTTTAGTACTATAGCTAGTGATGGGCCTGTAAGCGTTAACTATATGATAAAAAGCGAGGCACTTACTATTACATACAAAGCAATATCAGGTTTTGCGCCCTGCTGTTTCAAACCTCTTAAAAAAACTTTGCGCAAGATATCAATATGAAATTGCACAATATCCTGCTTCCAAGGATGAAAATTTGCTATTAGGTAGAAAGCTTTATCTTTCCAGAGAGCAGTGGCTTGGAAGCTTGGAATGAATTGCCTCTTGCTGTCAAGCAAGCACCTTCCCGTAGCATTTCTAAAAGTAGGCTAACAGCAACTTGCCTTTGTCAGTCTAGCTATGTTATAGTTTTCTAATTCTGTATTTTAAACATCAATGTAATTTTAGTTAATTTTCAGCCTGTAATATTGTTAAGTTTTTATACAGCCCCCCTCAATTTTCAGTGTATTTTGTCTTGTAAAGACGCCTTTGTACAGAAGAACACCAAGTGGGCCCCATTTTTACTTCATCCTTCAATCTATGGAGCAGAAAAGGCAAAAGATAAAATATAACACGTTTTCTTGAGTATCTTTAAACAGTCTCTTGATTCCTTCATTCCTTACTAATATGACATATAAATAGGTGTCTATACAAACATACATACACGATAGCACATACTGTTATCCAACTGCAAGGAAATAATTCAACAGCAATAACGAAATGTTTTTAAGCAACATCAATTAACTGCTGCAACAATGATAATCATTATCACATACAGAGAAATGCTGCCTTGGTTAGGGTTAGAGCATTTGAATTTAAATGGACAAGCAATTTTGGGGTGCCTTGACCATGCCTTCAACATAGTATTTTCTTGATAAGCAATCCCTTCAATTGGCCAACTGAAAATTAATCACTGATTGTGATGTTTTAAGTATCATAAGCATTTGAAGTTTCTTAAAATTGACAATTGGATAAATACCAAAGAGACCCTGCATAGAAGACAAACCCCTTTGTGCCTGCTGGTTCCAGCAACCCTGGCCTCAATGGCCTTTTGATTCTATTATCAACCAATTGCTGATTTACAAAACAGAACAAGAAAACATAGCTAATATATACAAAACAAGCAACATAACAAATAAATCTTTTCTAAAGTCTGTTAAAGCACATCTTGCTCAGCAACAAAATTCTTCTGCTTGTTTGCAGGCCATCTACAAACAGGGCAGCTTCTGTTCTTCACTTCAAGACTTTGGAGTAGCCAGGAGTCAATACAACCTTTATGAAAGAAGTGCCCACAAGGAAGCAGCTTAACAATATCCCCACAGCTATAGTTCTCTAGACAGACAACACAATCAAAGGATGGCAATGCAAAATATGGAATTCTTTTCTGTGTATTTTGACATTTACAATGCTTGCTTTTCATCTTATCTTGCAGAATTGGCTTTGACGGCTTTTGATCTAATGGAAAAGTGAACTTTGAGTTCTTGCAGAATTTCCAGCAAATGAGGTGCTTTACAAACTCATTTGAGTTCAAAGGATGCAGCCAAAGATCAGGAACACTCAATCTTTGTAGGAGATTTTCCAGTCTTTCTTCAAGTTCGAAATAAAATAAAGGTGGTGTTGCTAGACTAAGCAGAGAATGAAAAAACTCTCTGATTTCATTGACATCATCATTCCAAAGACTGGTTAATGTTGGTCTGGGCAACCCTCTATTTGATAAAATGAACTGAATGTACCCAACTGCTGAACCATACATGATGAGGCCAATGGCAAAGACACCAACATGCTGAGAAAGAACAAGGAAGTCTTTTCGCACCAATGCTGCAACATCTGAAAACATTATTGCTTGCAAGCTTTTGAGGAAAAATTCAACAATTGGAACAGTTTCGGGGAGTTGCAAAAGTCTTAAAATGGGTAGCCACACAAAGATGAGTAATGAATTAGACAAAACAGCAATCCAAGAAAAACAAATTAATCTTTTCAAAGGTCCTCCTTTCTGCACAAACAGTTCAAGCAAGCACGACATATTGATGAGTGTCAAGGCAAGTAGAAATATATCATTAGCTTCTGGATAAAGTGTCCTCAAGAAAATATCAATATTTGAATAATCAAAATTCTCTCCTTGTTTTGATCCATAGCTATAATTAGAGGAAGAGGTAACAGCATACAATGATGGGTTTTTGTTTGGGCTTGGTTTGTATTCTTTCTTCCGCTTCATATGCACAAATCTTATTCTTCCAGTAAACCTGACTGAAAGTGCAGACAAAAGCAGAGGTGGAATTTTGTGTCCTGATTCAAACACAATATTTAGGTTTGGTTGACTTGAAATTGCATTGCCCTTTTTGCTATTACGAAGTACTGATGAAAGTTCTTCAAATTTATTCAATATGACAACTTTAGATTTGAGCTTGCTTTTTATCCACTCTAGTAAGCAAAGCTTTCCTTTCATTTCATTACCTCGCACGCTACAGCTGCTTTTGTTCTTGTAAAGATAGGTGGCAACTCTTCCTTTTGGCTTTGTCCCAGCTGGCATTGATAACAATATTGAGCATGCTTTTATGTTGTGCTTTTTACATAGCTTTGTGTCCTGTGCGCATCTGTAAGTCCCAGTTCTAATGCCATATTTGAGAAGTTGATATGATAGGGAAGTCCAGTCACTCGGGGCTAATACAGTTTCGTTTTTTCCACACTGATCAGATCGAACCTTAGGAGACTTATCATGTTTATTCCCGTAAGTCTGACTTGGCCTAACCCAAACAACCCAAACGCTTGCCTTCGTATCCTCTACATTTTCAATAAAATGGTCATACGAAGTGAAATCGATGCTTTTCCCATCCAATGTACCTAGCTGCGTTTCCTTCAGTGATGTATCTTCGCTTTGAGGGTTTGATTCGTTAAGAAATGAAATATTCTCACTCTTCTCTTCAGTATGCGGGTGTGTATCTTGCTGCTGTGCGTCCACTCCACCGCAAAAGTATTCCGAGAACAGTGCCGAAGGTAGCAACTTACATAACAAAGTCAAGCTGGTTACCTCGATAAGGGACACGCTGACATCAACTAGCCTTGCACCAACGAATATAATGATGCAGTAGGCCAAAACCAGCGTCAATCTGAACAGCATCTTTCGTTTACGACAAAGGCTCGCTGATGTTTGGCTCGAAGCGACGAAAACAAACCGAACACCTCGAAAGGACGCGTTACCAAACGAGGCAATGACGCAACAATTTACCCGCCAAGTTTGTTTCCCGCGCGTTTTCAAACCTAGAAGTTCTACTATCCATTTGCTCTCAACCAACATCTATGATGGCACGATAAAGCTAAGAAATATTTTTTTACTTTTCGTCCAACATTTCTCAAGAAATTGTCAAAAATAAATGGGTCTATGAAGAATGGCTAAGCTCGCAAATGCCAAAAGGCAAATTGTTTTAAATCCAGTTTAAAAGCAGCTCAAAATCCTCAGCCCACGCTTCTACAGTCCCTGACTTTTAGTGTAGTGTAAGCTGATTTTCAGACAGTACAAAATCTTGTCTAAAAGGCAATTTCCCATATTTAAGTTGTTGATGGCTATCGCTATTGTCCCAGCCATGTCGCACTAAGAAATGGTCCTTTTACACACTCTCTCTGGGATAAAGATGCAAAATACAAGGTCCAAAAACCAAGAAGCAAGCAATCGTATACCAAAAAATAACAAAAAACCAACAGAAAGCATAATTTGTTCTGGTGAGGTTGAGAAACAATCTATCTTTTGAAAACATGATATATAATTCAATCCCTGCCAATGGGGGTATAAAAATAATTCACCATGGTTTTGTGTTATGGCATTTACAATAGCTTCATTGTAGACTAAAACTGATGCAAAAATAGAAAGGGAGGAAAGCAAATCAACAAAAGAAATCCACATTTATCAGGATGTGATGAAATTTTGAACAATATTACTACTGCTATGATATATTCAAAAAGTATACAAATGGTATTAAAATCTTTCTACATCTTGGCACCTTCAATTATCAAAAAATTAATTTAGATCTGTTATGGTATTAACAAACATATTACCTTGTAAGACTTTCTGCAATAGCCTATTTATTAACTAGTTATGAAGAATCTAAGAACTTTATTTTTCAGAAAAAAAAAATCAAGGTGGCAACATTTATGAAAACAGCTACTATTAAAACTGCTGGCCTATCCGCATATTTGATTACAGATTCTGGTAACTAACATATTTTTCACAATTAAGGTTCCTTTTTCTCTGCCCCTTTATCTTTTTTATCCTTTTCTGTGTCCTTTGCACCCTCTTTCTTTGCATCTTTATCATTTTCTTTCTTTGCATTTTGCTTGGAATCTTTTTTGTCATCATCAACTTTTACATTCTCTTTTTGCACATCTTTATCTTTTACATTCTCTTTTTGAACATCTTTATCATTCACATTCTCTTTTTGCATATCTTTATTTTTCTTTCCTTCGACATCTAATTTATTACCAACCTTCTTTTTGTCTTTCTTCTCATCTGGTTTGTCATCTTCTTTTGATTTTCGCTCAGTCAAAAACATATTTAAAGCAACTGGTCCAACTAATGAATTATCTTCAGCAAAATTTTTGACATTGAAACCACATCGCTCTGCCATGTTGTTTTCTGAGTCATCAATCTCATTGATGTGGTGGTTTTGTTCATATAAGAGGAAGAAATACCGATGTGGTCCACTTCCATATGGTGGCATTGGTGGTTTATAGCCTTCAAACAAAGAAATGAATGAAGTGTTGTGTACAGATAAACACTGGCGCTTTCATAAATTCCAATCCAAAAAAAATGAACAGAACTTATGAGCATTTTGTAAAGAAAATTTCAATAAAAATTTAAAGAATTAATAAATTGACCAGTATACAATAATCTATTTGATCTATATGATTTCCATAAAGGATCATTGTTCTTCAAAATTATTGAAAGATACAATCAATCTGATAGGTACTACTATTTCTCAAAATAAGATAATTTTGCTTTGTTATTATTCTTTGCAAAGTTTAGGGCTTTCAAACGTTAAAAAAATAATGTTTTAAAATACATTGAAGACTTCACAATACTTATATAAAAGAAATTAATAAAACATACTAATTATTTCTTTGCCATTATTCACATTTCCTTTCTAGTATAAAAGAGATAAGATGTTACTGCAAGTCATGTCACTGTCAATTTAAAAAAAATGTCTCTTTCTTTCTTTCTTTCTTTCTTTCTTTCTTTCTTCCTTTCTTTCTTTCTTTCTTACTTTCTTTCTTTCTTTCTTTCTTACATTCTTTTTTTCTTACTTTCTTTTTTTCTTACTTTTTTTTTTTACTTTTCTTATTTTTCTTACTTTCTTTTTTTTTCTTCTTTCTTTTGTAAAATTCAAAATCTACTTGAAAAAACTTCAAAATAAACTTTTTAAAGCTAAAAGAGGGAAATGAAAATAATTATGTCATTCAAAACCATATTTGACAGCAAAACAGCCAGAAAAACAACACAAACTTCTTTACTCAGGAAAATGACATTTCTTTGATGGGTAGATAACCCTTTTAAACAAAATCAACTATTTATGAGTTTTTTCTAATAGCTGAATAATATTGAATAGAAACAGGAGAAATCAATTGGAAGAAAGCAATCAAACAGCAATCAAATTTCAAGTGCCAGTCACTAAGTTCCTATATAGTAAACATACTACCATATGTATGGTAAACATGAAAATAATTGACAAGGAATGACCTTAATGTTGACAACCATCCAGTGAAGCCATGATCTGCATCTGTGGCTCTTTTTGCTTGGTGCATCTGGATCAACCATGAGAAGTGTCATTTCTTTGCCTTTCTGTATGAATGAAAACCATTTACTTACTATCATTGTTCACTATGACAAAAACACCAATTTGTTGTAGTTATCAACATTTTACTGGGGCATACTAGCCACTTTCTCAAACACATTGGCACAAATTCATCAATTAGACTGCAAATTTTTCAGCTTCTTTTTGGCAACGTAAATGCTTTGTTTCCATTAATCAAGTCAAAACTTTTCATGTGAAAAAGTGAAATTGGAAAAAATGAGGCCATAGCAAACCATGATAAATTACCGACAATACCTCTACTTCTGGAAAATCCAGTACAATTAAGAATCCATGATGAAGATTTTGAAAGAAAGCCCTTGTTTGTGAACCAAAATAATATGTTATAAAAGTGAAACTGTTTTAATATACAAAGATGAGTGCTGATATAATGTGATGACTTTTATTTAAGGATGACAAGCAGGATTGTGCTTTTGCATATTACCCACTTAAACTGACTCCTAAATATACCCAATTCGCAGAGAATCATTCAGTTTTACTCAATTTTTTCTATGACATTTCTGCTTTGTTGTAAAATAAGTGCAGTTATCTTTTAAAAAGGATAAACTTATTATTACCAAAGGAATGCACATGCCAGGGATGTCGAATCTTGGTTGTTTGGCTTTATATTCTTCCATTCTGAACCTTCTATATGGTATTGTGTTTATTTCACCACAATCATCCTTCAACCCCCAACCGACAAGATATACTGGGAGTTTTTTGATGGATCCATTTTCAGTCAAGTTACAAAGGCTGTCGAAATTCGCATGAACGAGATCTGGCTTGTCTTGTGTTTCGTTAACCGTAGAATTCTTCTGTTCCACTTGATCACGACATTTCGCATTGACTGCCACCCCAGAACCGTCATCATCCTCATCCATCGAGTCTTTAGGTGTGTCATCTTCTGGAACATTTATCAAACTGATAACCGACGACAGTCCCTTGATCTCTTTCATCACAGCCTCCCTTTCTTTATTCTCAAATGATTGGGGCCTTGGTACAACCACACTGGCTGTAGCAAAAAACAAAAGCAAAAACGCAGCTCTTTTGCGTAGCAACATGGCACCCATTTTCAAACCCATTCTTATAATGGTATGTGCATCAAATAAATACTATCTCTAAAAACATCCTGGTTCTATACAACTTCCGAATTTTCCAATTAGTATGGGCCTGAATGAAAATAACAGGTGCCATCGTCTTGTGTTTATGTGTACCAGTGACCCAAGACCTCCTTCGCAATATCCTACTCAAGAAGTAGTGCGTAGGAAAGCCTGCAGTGGAAATTAAATTTTGGCTTATTAGCCATAAACAAGAAACAATTTACATTGTCTTCCTATCAACTTTTCGGAATATTCTTCGTGGCTACATAATTTACAAACGTATTTTTAGCTTTTTCCGGCATTTTCCCTCTTTCCTCGTCAAAACAATCTTCATGGATACGAGGCTTGTTTTATGTCACCATAGAAATAATCTACAGGTCTTGTGTATGTTTTTTACCCAACCACCATGGAAGTTTGTCAATAACTTGCTATTTCTCACCTGGAAAATTGATCATAGGAAAATGGCGGCCAAAATGGACAGTCGAGGAGGAACTAGACAAACTAAAGTCAGTTTTAATAGGAATGGCAATCTTCAATCTGCATCAAGTATTCCACAGACTAATGATATGAATCACGAAATGCATATTAAGATGTCGAAAAAGATTGCACAGCTTACCAAAGTCATATTCTCCTTGAATACAAAAAATGACGAATTTGAGGAGGTCGTTGATGCGTTGAAAAATCAACACCAAAGTGAATTGGAAAGAGTTACACACGAATGCAAGGAGAAGATAACACATTATAAGCAAAAAATGGAACTTGTAAAAGAGCAAGAAACTTTGATCAGTAAACTCCAAGGACTCCTTGAAGACGAGAGAAAGGAAAAACGCCAGTTTATTTCAGATCTAGAAAGTTTCAAAGACGAGAAACATAATACTGAGGTTGACTTGAGGGGGAAATATGAGTCAAAGGTCGAGGAAGTCAGTAAAAAACTTTTGATGATTAAAGAAGAATTTGAAAATAGGACAGAGCAATTTGAAAATGTGCGGAAAAAGCTTGAAAAGGACAAGGAAACTGCAATATCTGATATGAACCATAAACACAGCATTGAAATGGAAAAGTTGATAAAAGCTCACAGGGTAAGGTATGATGAATTACAAAGCGAAAACAACAAATTACAGCAAAACATTGAAAAGTTTAAGACCGAAAAAAATTCAGAAGTGAGTAGTAGAGACTCAGAAATGCAGTCAATGGCTGATGAATATGAAAGTAAATGTGAAAAAATGAAAAGGTTTTATGAAAATGAACTGTCTGCAGCAAAAAAGAAACATGAATCTGAATTTGAGGAGCAGATAGAAAAAATGAGAAATGAAGAGAAGCTACTGCAAATGTCAATGAAAAGAAATGAGGAAGCACTTAGAAACAGGATTCGGGCACTTACTGAAAATAATGAAGGTTTGGAATCAAAGATAGAGGAATTGCAGTTATCAATTGAGGAAGCAAATAAAGAACTGAATAATACAATGAATAATAATAATAATTATTCCCATGAGGTTTCACAGTTACAACAGGAGCTGAGCATCAAAGATGTAAGACTCCAGGGGTTGCAAAATGAACTTAATTGCTTGAAGGCAAAACATGATGCTCAGACTGAAGACCTACTTCAAAAATCAGGTGAATTTTATACATTGGTTTGTATTTTTGTCAGTGCAGGATTTTTATGAAAGCCTGTTTCCATGCCCTTCCCATTCTAGGAGATGATATACAGTACATGGTGCACATATTCATTGCTTACTGTTGCTCACAATGACTTGCAAGCATTTATGCCCCTGGAACTGCAATGTTTGCATATTAGAGAAGAATAAGAATTTTCTAAAGGAAAAAACCCTTAACCTTTTGAAGATGCTCTAGGTTATATTATATCTTTTGATGTTTCTCCTTTAAGGATATTAATATTATTTACCTTGTGTATGTATACTTCTCATCTAGGATTTTGTTTTCTACTATAAATTCTATTTATTTGGCTGAATTTGACCTAGAAAGATCTGTACCTGTGACCTGAGTATGACTCAGTAAAACCAAAATTTTGTATATGCACAAACAGTGTTTTTACTTAGAAAAACTTTATTCTCAAATTAAATGAATATTCAATTACTTATATATGTTAATAAATGCAAACAGTTATTTATGTCTTTTTTCATCACACAAGCTGAGCTTGGCTCTTTGGAAGCAATGAAAGTTGCCAATGCAAATCTGATAAAGGATTTAAGCTGTGAGATTGATGAAGTAAAGAAAAGGTGTCATGAGCTAGAGTCAGAAAGAAAAAATCTTGGTAGAAAACTGAGTGCAAACAGCTCAGAAGCTCATCTACAGATAAAGTCTCTAAAAAGGGTGAGTTGTTGGGAATTACCCAGTTACTGTAAAACATAATTGTGATTGAATGCTCACAAATTTCACATAATTGTCTCTGAATGTACATTGATATGTATTATTATTTGATATGAATGTTTGTGCTATTTCATCAGGCCTGGCTGTTTGAGGCGAGCCATAGCTCGCGCTCGCCTCCATGCTCTCCTCGCAACCTGAGGCGAGCTATGAATTGCTCTCCTAAACAGAACATGAAAGGAGAATCGCTCCCCTAAAATTTCCTATTCAGAGAATTATGAAAACGCACAAGGGTTAATTGGTTTATTTTTGTAACAGCGATTTCTCCCGTCATTGCATTTTTTGCAATTAACTTTTTGCTTGTTGGGCAGTTTTTGTTATGATAGGCATAAACTTCGATCTATTCGGAAAAGGATAGTTAAGCGCAAGGTACATTTGTAGCGATTAGAACCTTTCAATCTTAAGAAAACAGGAATATTTTTGGAAGGAAAGTCGAAGAAATTGGTAGGAATTGTAGATTGGGGATATAATAAGGCAGCAGGTCCCTTCCAGCAATAGAAACAAAACTATCCCTCAAAGAGAACAAGGTACTCTGTCTTGCAGATCAAAAACGACAACCAAAACATGGAATTCCACTATCCAGCAGCATTTACTGAAAAACCCAGATTGGATGAAAAACTATAACGGCGACATGTTTCGCATTTTGGCAAAGCATGATCATCGTTCCATCTAGCTGTTTGTGAATCTATCTACTATATAAACATGACCGACCGCTTCTGTGTAGACATAAGTCAGTTCGTTTTCACCTTAGGACTCCGTTGGTAACATTTTCAATACGAAAGCGGCACTGATTGGACAATCTCAACAGTCATGTGCGCGCGTTTTCTGATTGGCCTATTTCGATCCAAAACTGGGTATTTTAGCGTAGAGTTTTCCATCTATGTTCAAGTAAAGGGGGTGCCTAAGTCACGGTTAAAGCAAATAAAAATTGAAAGAAGTTAAACATCACACTCCTGACTGAGGCTATTACATTAAGGCAACCGACAGATACTAAAGGGGCCTATTAAGTCATCTGTCGATTGTCTTTGAAGTACATTCTTTGTGTTACTGATTTAGCTCGCCTCGGCAAATGAGGGGAGCGATTCACAGCTCACCTATAAAAATACAAACGGCCAGGCCTGTTTCATCCAAAGTGTGAGCAAGTATATCTTTCATATACTACTAATAACTGGACAACACGCTTTAGAGTGATAGCAATGCTGTGTTGTGTTGTAGTGGGCATAGCTAAACAATGCATTTGTATTAACTACATGTATTCATACATGCTTATGTTGAAAAAGGGTATGGGTAACAGCATCCACCTGCATAGAAGCTTGGCATCTTAACCCCTGTATGAGCTACCTTAACCTCATAAGAGTTGTTGGGGTAGACAGATTTTGGGTAGGAGTAGACAGTTAAATTATATGTTTAACTTTTATTTTCATTTATTGATTCAATAATGTTTCCCTTTAAGGACTTGGAAAAAATGGAAGATGAAAAGAAAAGGCTTGTCTCAAGATATGAGCAGGAAATAGCTGAAGCCAAAAAAACTGCAGATGAGAAATTTGATAACATTGTAATAAAAAAGGATGCAGAGGCTGTTGAACTGACTGAGATGCACAAAACAACAATCAAGGAACTAGAATTAGTCCATAATTCCAAGGTTGAAGCGCTATTGTCAAGTGCAAAGACAGAACACAGGAATGAGTTAGAAAGACTTAAAGTTGAAAACAGCAATGAAATGAATGAGAGACTGAGCGATATTCAGAAATTAAAAGAACTTGTTGTTCAATATGAAAAAGAGATCTCAAATTTGAAAGATCATATAAATGAGCAATCTGTATCACATGCGTCCACATCAGATGAAGTGAAGTATTTGCAAGATAAACTAAGATGCGTTCAGGATAGTCTGGATAATACAAAAGACCTGTTAACATCAGCGGTGTCAAGGGAAGAAAATCTCCAGGTGAGACAAACAAGAATGCCATGATTTTATAGTGAAGATGTCACATAGCATTATTGATTTTGTTACACAAGAGCTGCTTTTAAGTGTCAAATAGTGGCTGCTCCCAATGTTGTGGCTTTTTATTCCTTTTCGTCTCACAATCTGACTTTAAAGGACTGCCTTCTTCTAATATTCAATTTTCCTGGTTGCATTGCATTTTCCCTTCTCATTTCTATTTCAAAATTTACCATTCTTTAAGGAACTTTATGAGCCATATTTATTTGAGTCAGCCCCTGTTGTTTCTGCCATTGGGTTGTAGGGAGATGTTTCTTGCCAAGAAGCATCAGTTAACCACAAAGGGTATTCTTGATTTATCAGCTTTATTCCAAAGAAATAACCTAATTATGCTATTAAAGCAGAACAATTGGGAAAGAAACTTTTTGTAAATGCATCATTTAATGGTTTCACACTACTTCTTTGTTAATTTTTTTAGAATGAGCTACTGCAAGCTAGAAAAGATCATGATGTGCAATTGGAAAAGGCAGATATAAACTCTAAAAAAAGTCTTAAAGATTTGGCAACAGATCTTGATCAGCAATGGGGAAAGAAGTTAAGGTTTGCACCTTTTTCTCAAATTTCCACTTTTTCGCATTTTTCAGAATTTGGTTTCATCAGGCTCAAGTACATTTTCAATCTGAAATCCCGTTTGATTCTCACTTGTATTGACAAGCTAAACATAGAATTTGTAATTGAATAATGTTTGGCTATCTCTCAAATTTATTTTGTTAATAAATCTGATTAATATGATCAAGTGTTACTTTCTTGTTGATCACTTACCAAACAAAGTTAATGTAAATGACAGAGAAATATTTGCCGTTGACTTCAGGTGACTTCAACTAGATTCAATGTTTCGATTTTCATCTGAGAGTTTATATATTGCCATGCCCGTAAGTTGCTGATATGCTTTGCCATGCCCATATTTTACTTGTCTACAAAATTTGCAGATAAAGGTCGTGGTGTTAAGATGGTTTATGTTTTCCATCTATCCTTTTTTCCCAGCATCATCCCAAATTTCATAGAGGAACAGAAACTTAATTGTATAATTGTTTCTTAAAAGTAAGTGAACATTGAACAGGGGGAAGAAGTCAAAACTTACTTTGTCTATTTGGATCTGCCAGGGCCATGCACTCCAATGATGCTTTGCAAGGACTGTAGCACAGCTTAGCTCATTGTTTGTATTTATTGTCTCTGTTATGTTGCAGAGATGAATGTGACAGACTGCGGCTGGAGTTGACTATACAACAAAAGGAAGAAAGTGATGCAGAATTTAAGCACATCTTGAGTCTCAAAGATAAAGAATTTGAGGCATACAAAATGCAGATGCAGCAACAAGTATCTTATTATCAACATCAGGTAATGTTCAAAGATGAGAAATATTTTTAAATGCTTTTTGATATATCAATTTATTTATTAGAATACAAATTGAATTACAGCTGAAAGTGATCTACAATATCTAGTAGTTTCTTGCAATTTATGTTGCAAAAGCTTCGAAAATATATTTATAAATAGGAATTTGTGAGAAACAGGATTTCAATTTATTTTGTTTAAAGGTCCCTGCTGGTTGAGTCCCCAGGAAAAAATTTCTATTTTTTGTACTTTACTTTGAACCTGCAGTCCAAGATGTGAATATCGAGTTCAAAGGGCCTCAGTCTAGATAAATGGGAAGTCTGTTGGTTAGCCTTTTTGCTTGTCTTAAATGTTTTACTAATGCTTATAATTTGGGTACCTCAAACTGAAAAGTCCCTAGGAGCCCGGGTTCCTTTGTTACGCCAATGTTTGTGATATAACCCTCCAAACGGTTTGGGGGGTGGGGGGGGGGCAAAGGCAAAGTAACAGCAACATTGATAAAATTGATTAATTTATTTTGCATGCAAAGAACTGATTTGCTTTATGGTACTAGTTTTAAAAAAGCCATTTCTGTGCTTTTGCATTCATATCTAACAACTTTGACCTGAATTCTGAAAATTAATTCTGAAGTGCATGGGATGTCTTTATGAAAAGCTGGCGACATTAGCTTTTTGAACAACCATTTGTACAAAAGGACCCTTCCTTCACGCGTACAGCCCTTAACTCTCAAGTATATATGGCCTTGCCAAAATTGGTCTAGTATATAGAGTACTTAATTTACTGATTTGAAACAAATAAGCCAGGATGGCGATAATTATGAGTTCGTGGTGTAAAAAGTCTTGAATTATTCATACCTAACAGCAGGGTACTATCTGCTTATCAAATTAGCAAGATCGTATTTTCGCAGTTTCATCCATAATTCAACATATGTAAATGAAAACTGAAGCAGTTCTAGATTATTTGTCTTGCCTCACTGTACGTTTACGAGTATCTGTGGAAACATCTTCTAAACTTATAAAACCAGACTGTGGGATTGATTGAAGCAGATTGAAGCAGAATTTATATTGCTATTCGCAGTCATTAATGAATTTCATCTTCTGTAATGTCACCTTGGATGACGTCATAGCTTTCATTAAAAGCAGAAAAAGACAATTGACAATGATGGCGTTAAGTTTTCTGTCTATCTGTTTGATGTGCAATTTTAATTTTTTAAATGCCTAGTAAAGCTTTGAAAAGCTTCGGAATCTTCTTGCAGAGGTCAAAGATTTCTAAGACATACTAGAAAGCTCATATATTGCTGCAAGTTTTTTATGTTTTACGAAAGAAAATTATTCTATTGATTTTTTAAAGATATCACAACTGCGTCAAGACTTGCAAAGCTCCAAGGTGGAGAATGAAGATTCGTTGAGAAAAGCTTCAGAAGAATACAGCGACCAGAAAGCGAACTTCGAAGGAGAAATCTCCAAATTAAAATTCGACCATTCCGGAGAGATTGAAAATCTTTACTTGGAAAATGAACGAAGACTCAAGGACCTACTGGAGAAACACAACAAAGATCTGAAGGTAAAATTTTTCTTTTAATTATTTCTGAAGAATCTGGCCAATGTTATCTAAACTTCCCATTGAACACTAAAACGGATGAAAATAAACAGAGCTACATCGGTATTTTCTCGGTATGAAAAGCTCAGCTCTACAGTTGTGACCGAGAAAATTAAATAAATTGTTCGTAAATCGTTAAATGAGTTTTGTTTTGAGACAAGTGACTAAAAACCCCTTTCTTGAAGACAGCATTAATCCATGGTTATATTTGAATCAGAATACAGTTTTGGAGACCTGTAAACTTTCAATCTGCATCTCTTTTAATGCTAATGGTTTTATATCAATATGTTAGTTACTGCATTATAACAGGCTTCATAACAATATGTTAGGGTAATAAAACAGATATTATAATTAGCAACTGCTACAGTGGCTGCAAGAAGCTAGAAACGTTTCAGCTTTGCTCGCTTTTTTAACACCTTTTAGAAAACAGTAATTATGTAGTGGAAAAGCAACCTTTTTTAAAAATGATAAATTCAGATTTCTTTAAGAATTAGCATAATGATAGAACTAGGGATTGATTTTCATACGGATATAAATAATGTTCAACAGTTCATTTATGCTAAAATTATTTGCGAGAAAACTTTTTTTCAGATTAAATTTCTGCCTGATTTTTATTAATGTTTTTTTCCACAAAGAAAATTGAGGAGGAATTAAAAGCAGATCATCAAGAGGCGATGCAAGGACTGATGATGGCCAACAGAGCATCGCTGGATGCATTGAGGCACGACTATGAGAAAGCAAGAAATGAAGAGTTGCGAGAAATCAAAAACCTTCATTCAGAAGAATTGGGTAAGTATACAATGAAAGTGATACAGCGTAGCGTAAGGGAGTACGTATTGAGTTAAGGTGTGGATGAGATGGGGTCTACGAGTAGAGTTGGGATTTATTTATTTAAAAACGGCTTAAGAAAAAGCAAACATTTTGAAACCTACTAAAGCATTTCGTCTGACAAATTCTGTACCACAAAAAAATTGTTCGATCCATCATTTTTCGTTCAATATTTTGTTGAAGAAGAAATAGAATATGTTAGAAAAGTTTCAAGGCACCGATAATTCGACAATAGGCGCGATCCAAAATAATCTCGAAAACCATAAACTTTATTAGATACAACCTAGTTATGATAACCTGGATTTTAAAGGCCTCGATTGGTAGGTACGTTCTCAACAATAGTGAAAATTATCCAATTTGTTCATATTATACGAGGTGAATATTGTTGTATGATTTTTATTTTCGCTGTATCGAGAGTGCTCACCGGGCACGGGTCAATTTCCATGAATGAGAAATGAAACATAAAGGAAATTCAAGAATTTCTTTGCTATATGGATGCATTTTTAAAAGCATTAAAGCTTTTTTGCAAATTCATGTTGTTTCTGTGCCAATATCTAGCCTGAGTTTGTTGTTATTACAGAACGTCTACGTCAAACGCTTCATATTCAGCATCAGAACGAGATGGAACAACAAAGTCTACAGTTTGAGGAAGAGATAGACTATATCAAAGACGAGTTGAAGAAAACAAAGGACCTTAGATCTAAAGAAGTATATAAATTATTATTTTTTAGCAATCTCGATTTCATTTACCATGCCATGTCATTGATACGTGATCTGTAGCTTTCTGCTTGACTTTAAGCCCTGCAGCCTTTTCTCATTTAAATCCCTGTCAACTAAAGACATTCCGACCCATGCTTTCCGCTCTTCTGTGGGTCTCTCACTATATTTATTGTTTATAGCAGCACCCTTCCCTGATCAGCAGATTTCTTCTCTTGTATGATTCCTAGCAATTTTGCCAGCTTGCTTATCTGAGTTCCTTCGTTTAAAAATATGTAACCAGAATTTGAAAATCAACGGTTCCTCTATTTAGGAACAATTTCGAGAAAATTTTGTAATGGCCTATTGGCCTACCTTTATCTGACTTTCAAATCACAAATACTTGATGGTGACATGTTTCGGATTATTGGTAGAGCTGAGTCGGTGTTCTACCAGTTTTAGAATCTAGTTAAAATCATCGCCAAAAGTACTTGGAACATCCAGCCATATTTTTTGGTATTTTTCAATACTTTTCCCGAATCCTCCCAATTCTGTACCCATTCCCCCAAAAACAGTGTTGATAATTAGATAAATATCATACAAGGCGCTGGAAAAAACGTACTTCCTAATCCCCTACGTCATTTTGTAATCAACCAACATTGTTCAAAGAGGGAAGGGAATAGCTGAAGTGGCCTTTGAAAACTGAGACTTAGTGTATCAAGACTTTTGGCAGGCATTGTATACAAAAATGAAAAAAATCGTTTTTGTGTAGACAAAAGTAGTTGATCTGTTCCTTTGAACTCTGGTTGTAGAATTGCGTTTAGACATGTGACACGATTCGGCAACTAAACAATTACGCGCTCGCTTTCGAATTTGCCTATTTTGATTAAGAGTGTAAGACCAAAACCCTTACCCTGTCTAAAAAGGTTTGTTTTTTAAAAAGCCAGTTTCTATTTCTCGACAGTTTGGTATCCACTCAGCAAAAATTGAAGAGCTATCCAGCTCGATGGTAGAAAAAGAAAAAGAAATGAATAGAATCAGGAATGAAGTTATGCAGCTGCAAGATAATGTCAAAATACTGAATCGTGAGTTGGAAGGGAAAGTCGAAGAAATAAGGAAAGTTAGAAGAGAGGGTAATCTTAACACCAGGTTAGGAGATTTTTCTCATTTTTTGTATTATTTCTAAATTTTGTGCAATTCCCGCTACCGGGGGATTTCTTTCAGATTTCCCCAAATTATTTTTACTATTAGAATATTTGCCAAAATCGGGCAATATTCTCCCAATTGCCCCTCGGCATTACATTTTTCAAACTTTTCAAGGCAGTTTACTATCATATACAAAGTAGTAATTAAAGGTAACCTAGTTAAACCAGTTGACAAAGTCCCTCCACAAAGCCGGTTAAGAAGGATCAGCTGGACGTTTCTACTTTGTTATTTCTATCATTATCGATTGATGAATATATTTGTTATTAAAAAAGAAATTTTTATCCTTGTCAAAAAGTGACTTTATAAAGTTCTAGATTCAGAATTGAGAATAATTTATAACAAAGGCAATAACTGTTGTTTTTAAATCACAATAAATTTTTTTATTAGCGAAGTAATGATAACTTAAGACGTATTGTCGTTTTATTATTGGGAGGGGGGGCTAATCATTGTATTGCTTCCCTCTCAGTACACCATTTTAAAGAAACAGTTTGACAATTATGGGAGGGCTCCAGCCACCCAGCCCCCCCCCCCTGCTTCCGACGGCCTTGAGACCAACAATTCTGGTCGCTCCTATCGAGACAAACGCATATACATATACCTGGCAGGATGTAGGTATCCCTTTCCCCATTCCAAATTCGGACGTAAGTGTTTCGATAACAGAAATGTCAACATTGAAGTAAGGGGAGAGGATGGGGTACACGAGATATCTCGACACTGTCTGTCCAGGCTTTTGTTTCATTGGATTGGTTTCCTTTGATGGCATCATTAGTTATCGGTCCAAGTCAATTGCCAAACGTTATCGGTTCAAACCAAATTAAGAAAGTCGATTCGAAAGCTGGTAGTTGTGTTGGCTCGATATATTATAAAGTTTTGTTTTGCAGACGAAAAGAACAGCAACTGGCAAAGGAACACCAAAACGAAATGGATGAGTTGACCGCAGATCACCTGCGTGAAACCCAGAAACTTCTAGCCGAATTCAACCGAGCGAAAGAACTTCTAAAGGATAAAGTGGAAGCATTCCAGCTGCTGTATGTACCCCGTAGAAGTTGCAACAACTTTTTGATTATGTGTCATAGGCTTCTTTTCTAGTGAACCTTGCAAAAGAAAATTTGATGATAGGATTCGATTTTATATATAATGGTGACATTTTGTTATCATTATTCTATATTATATTGTATTATATTATGTTATGTAATGCTACTTTTTACTTTATTTTATTACACTTTGTTATGCTTTGTTTTGTCATGTTATGTTATGTTATGTTATGTTATGTTATGTTATGTTATGTTATGTTATGTTATGTTTTGTTATGTTATGTCATGTTTTGTTATGTTATATTATGTTATGTTATGTTATGTTATGTTATGTTATGTTATGTTATGTTATGTTATGTTATGTTAATTTATGTCATGTCATGTTATGTTGTGTTGTGTTATGTTTGGTTATGCTATGCTTCAGTCTTTTCAAATCCTGTTCTGTTACACTTTCTAAATTCTATCAAATCGTGAATTTTTTACCTTTAGACTTGAACAAGCAGAAGACAAGTATAGAAACAGAGAGTCCCGGCCTGAAGACTTGCATGCAATTGATTTATTAAGACAGTCGTTGGCTGAAAGAGAAGCAGAATGCCTGAAACTAGTAGTGAGTGTCTTTTCTGCGTTTACAATTTCTAGATCGATTTGCTTCCCCTCGCATATGAATATCGTATCAATGTTTCAAAATGCTGCCAGAAGTTATCCCATCTCATTACTCAGATAAAATTCCATCAGATAATTGACACCAGTCAAATGTGAACATTTTTATTCATGATATTTTACTCAAGCAAGAAACAGACATGCATAATAATAACACTGAATTGTTGATATATAAAAAACAGACTTTCCAACTACTTTACACCAATCAGACCTGATACTTGGTCAGTGAATCACAGATAACAGTTCGATAACAGTATATCACAGAATACTTTTTTGCACTGCCCTGAAATTGTATCCTTTGTAAACCGTTTATGGTTTCTCATAGGAAGAGAAAAGGTACTTTCAGCTGGAGTTGCTGAATCGTGAAACGAATTTCAACAAGATATTCAACAGTATGCCAAATGTTGGGGTGATAAATCCGTTGCAATCTAGTAAGGTAAGATCGGCAAGACTTATTTTACAATGTAGTTATTTTAAATGAACTTGATGGAAGCTGGTTAGGTTAGATCAGTATTTGGAACATAACAAGTCCAAACTTGTCCCCTGCAGGATGGAGTTAGTGTCCACCCATGCTTTGCTGGTAAAGGGAACAAGAAACACACAAAAATTTCAACAGTGAGACTTGAGCAATTCTGGATGTACTGACACTCTCGACTTGATTGGGTGTTAAGTCTCCTCACAATAATGAAACTGCTAATTATATGATACCCGCAATTTCGATAAGGAAGGAATGCCTATCTTAAGAGGGCAGCCGTTCTCCCAAGAGTCCCTGTCGATTAGGCCAAGATTGAAACCCCTCCTTCCCGTATTAACAAGCTGAAGTTGGCTAAACTCTAGGTGCGTTGTCCATCACCAATGCCAACCGAAGCCGTAAGCCCGAATTATACGACGCTGGTTCGCATGGCGGTTGCAATCACGCGTTATCGGATTCGCTGTGCTTTGCGAATGCAAAAATCTCTCTTTTCAGGAAACTCAGTATTTTGGCCTTAACTGACAGTGGCCTATCAGTGAAACTCGCTTCGAATCGACGGTGTGTGTGGTGTGAAAGGGGTGGATATAATCACCATTCGGGTGTCAGCTGTTTGCTCTAAGGATACCACAATGCATTATTCCACTGAGTACGGCAGAGCCGGACCCCCTTTGAGTGAAAATCAACGCAGAATGAAAACCGATCAGGAATGAACCCAATACGTCGTGTAACTCAGGCCCGAATCGAGTCTTACGTAGTTTCTCAATAATATTATTTCTTTGTAGAAGAAGCGAAAATCTGCTACTGACCAGTGGAACCTATCTGGTAGTAAACCAGCCCAAAGGTCATCCAGTGGTTCGTCGTCTCCAGCTCGTCTTGAGCCCATTCCGAATACACATATCCACGAACAACGATTGAATAACAGCAAGCCTTTGCCCAAAGCCCCTGTTCAAGGAATGTGAGAGCAGTAAATCGTTGTATCAACAAAATTATTCATCGTTCTTGTAAATATTTTAGAAATCGTTCTTATTTGCTGAGAATCTCCAATTGTAAATAGAATCTTTACGCACTAGCATTTAAAATGAGACGAAGTGTACATTGTAAATATTCGATCTAAGGAAAAGTATTAGCAATTTTGTGTGTGTTTTTCCTGAATGTCTTTGTTGAACCCATACCTATGTTTAGTTGAAAGTTAATATTGTTTTTAACTGGTCGAGATCGTGTTACTCTTTGGTGCTCACATTCTCAGTTGTCCATTTATATACTCGTAGAAAGAGCAGTGACCGTGAGTAGATCTAAGACTGGCAAAGGCCCATTTTGCTTTTCTTAGGTTTAATTAAAAACTGTAATACTTCAATTGCTTTCTCTTCAAACTATGTAGCTCTTCTACTTTTGTGGGTTTCTTCTATGTAAACAAGAAGGCCACCGCCATACATATTTCCATCAAGCACGATATTGGAATTTTATATCAAGGAATCAAAAACTGTATGGAAGATTCGAGTTTGGGAAAGAATATTCGAGTTTGGTTTCACCAATGATCACGCAATCAGTCACATGAACTTCGTTGAGTGCCAAAAATTTCTGAGGGATTTATTTTCGGTGAAGCAGGGAAACCGAAAGTTATTCCCACCGAATTTTTTCAAAACCAGAATGTTTTCTCACATAAATTTTCAAACGCTAGGAAAATTTGGTAACATCTGGATTTATGGTAACATCCACTGCCACTTTTGGGGTACCATTTTTCAAGTAGAAAATAAATCTTAGGATTTCGGTTTTGGCAAAATTAAACATGATCATAAATTTTGGGGCATTATTTATTAAAGAAAGGTAATATGTTTCCATATGCTTGGCTGGTTTGATGATTAGTATGATTGGTTTTCATTTAAATCCAAGTTTGAGTTCTCTATGGGCTGAACTGATGATTTTACTGGCTTTTCATATTTTCTCTCATTTTTTTCCAACGCTCCAGCAGTTTCAACTTTGATGCTTAAATTTTTAACTCACAATCCATCAGAATTCCCAATCCCCTCTTTGCGACTGGTGATCAAAAATATCGCGATATGTAGACGATTAAAATTGATTTTTCTTCATGGATTATAAATATGAAATAAAAACATATTCTTCTAAATAAGATTTCATGAAATTCTTGCCTGCTCTCCAGGTCTATTTGTTGGGCTGACATCAAAATATTCAATTTTATTCAATTCAACTTTTTTGATTGCGTTCCAGATAATATTACGTTGAAGATAAAATAACTTACAGGTGAAGTATTTCATTTCTTTACACGCCGAAATCTTCTCCTTCCACCAAAATATTCAAGTTCATACCGAATTCACTCTTTTTCAAAACAGAAAACGCGGAAATTTTATTCAATGTGAAATAAGGTCTTCATCGCAATGTTCGAAAGAGCTGTTTTTTGTATAGCTTGTTGTTGTCTTTACATTCTAGTAACTCAAAGCAAAACTGCACTTTTCCGAGTTTTCGACCTGACCCAGTTTTCGCAACATTGTCTGGATGTTTTTCTGTTATTCAGGTATGCTGTCCTCTGTTTGCTTAACTCAGACATTCAAGCGAAGTTTTTCTGTGATCTTGGTGTTAAACTAGGAAACATCCTGTATACCCATAATTTCCTTGATTAAATTAAAGTCAGGTTTCTCTTAAAGGGATGTGCCCTCTCCTCGATTAGCTTAGCAACTGAAAGAGCCGGAATTTTTTTTAATCTGTGTGATTTTATTTATAATTTGTTGCCTATTATTATTAAAAAAGTTGTAATTTGTTTAACTTGTCATATTTGCATGTATTAGATTTAAAATAAAAGAACTGGACTGAACACAAAATTACAAGGATGACTGGAGGCAAGCTAGAGAAACAGACTTAAAATATTCTCAATGATCTGTATCCCATTATACTTTCTATCATGGATATAATTATCAAAATGTCAGGGATGGATATAAACTGCAAAAATTGGGGACGTTAAATAATTATTAGGTTTTATGCCACACCCTTGAAGTTCCTATGCAGCGAAATTTACCATTCCAATATTTTGAAAAAAATCTATCGCCCTTGTTCTTATACAAAAAACAGAATTCCGATAAGCTAAATAGTTCTTTTTTTATTGAGTGTCAAAGTATGCATATTTTGCAGTTGCGTTGCGAAATTTTATTTCCCGCTGTGACGTCACACAGTGATGAGTCGAGGCGAAACTATTTTGTCAGGCCTGTTAAGTAGCTCATTAGGTCGAATTGTGCAAATTGTGATACTAGCATGAAACTTTGCAATAATGGACAGTTTGATATGCTGAAAAAGATAGGATAGGGACCCGAACTGAAAATTGCCCCAAGACTCTAGCGGCGATATTACCGTATCTCTGCTGTAAGTAAGTACAATGTACAATAACATGAAACTTTGTAACAAGTGACAATCTGATACGGTAAATATGAAAGGATAAAGATCCCAACTTGAATTTGCCCCCTTGTTCTATTTTTAGACTGGGGTACTTTGCCCTAGACCGTTATTGACGGTATTATCGTATCTCAGTCTCACTTTGGTAGAATAGCATGAAACTTTGCAATAAGGGGCAGTTTGATACACTTTAAAAGATAGGATATGGACCCCGACTGAAAATTGTTCCCCTTGTTCTATTTTTAGACTGGGGTACTTTGCCCTAGACCGTTATTGACGGTATTATCGTTTCTCAGTCTCACTTGGTATAATAGCATGAAACTTTGCAATAAGGGGCAGTTTGATACACTTTAAAAGATAGGATATGGACCCACCCAGAAAATTGCTCCCCTTGTTCTATTTTTAGAGTGCAAGATATGAATAGGAACTATATCACATCTTTGTCAGCGTATCAAACTGCCTGTATATTGAGAATTTCCGTTCTCTGTTCATGGTCAATGGTAGAATTAGGGGTCTGAATCAGAGTACCCCAGTCTAAAAATAGAACTTAGGGGCAAGATATGATTTGGTTCGATATCCAATATTTTTTTGCATGTCAAACTGCCTTTATATCGAGAATTCCAAGTTTCTATGACCTGGCGTTCTCCGTTTGTGGCCAGGGGTCTGGACCAGAGTACCCCAGTCTAAGAATAGAATTTAGGGGCATCATATGAATTGGGTTTATTTTTTTCTCGTTAAACTGCCTTTTTATTGTGAATTTCAACTTTCTATGGCCTGGCGTTCCCCGTTTATGACCAAAGGTACAATTAGTGGTCTTGACCGGAGTACCCCAGTCTAAAAATCGATCTTATGGGCAAGATATGATTTGGGTCTATATCACATTTTTTCAGCATATCAAACTTGATGTTTTCTGAGATTTTGGTGCTTGTATCACAATTTGCATAATTCTTCTTCATATCTCCCTCACTAGAACCTATTATGTACAACATCACTGTGACGTCACAAACTGGCCTTGGTTTTCGCAAGTACTACCTAATTTCAAACTCTGATTAAACACACTTTTGTTTTTGGGCACAGATTGCACAATTGTGAAGTTTGTGTTTATTGTAGCAGTGCTCGAGTAAGCTTTACATTGTGTTTTTTGATACGGCTAAAGCAACCAGCGTGCAAGCGTGCATTGGCCTTGGGTATATAAACTTTGTCTTAGCACAGTTTCATTCTCACACGTTGCACGACAAATTGAAGTTGGACTTCGGAGAGAAAAGGTTTTTCCTTTGCGACCCTGTCCACCCAACCCTTGTCTAGAAATTTTCAGGGGTTTTTATTTACATGCATGTTGACTTTCTTTTTTCGTGCATTAGTTAATGGCCGTATGGCTTGCGACTTTTTGCATGAACAAGGTGCTGCTAGTCGGCGGAAGAAGGCCATTGTTCTTCTTCTCAACCTCCTCAAAACCGGTTGAGGTTTTATTTATGGCCGTCTTTGCGATTGGCGCACCGACAGCCCAAAACTAAATGGCTCAAATGATGAGAGAACACCACCTTCAGTCTTATGATTGACAATGATAAAACATTCTGAGGACCATCCTACCCTTATTTGCTAATGGTTTTTGTTTAGTAACCTGGAACAAATATTAACATTTTGCAACTTAAAGGTACGTGTCACACCCCCTGGTAACTCCTTCCCTGCAAAATGCATGTCCTGCTTTGATCCAGGTACACTTATAAGAATGTCACATGACAAATACAGCTCTATAATGGTATTGACAGTAATTCAACAGAACATTGTGGCTTTTACCCATACCTATTGCAATTTTCTGTAACTATGTCAAGTATATTTGCTGTCCATCATGAATTCTAAGAAAATGTTTTTGACAGAGCAATGTATAAACTCTGTACTGGAAAGCATAAAATCACTGGTTTTCTCTAGACTGGTGCCCTTCCACCCTTCATCTACCTTCTATCTGGCGCATAATCCTATTGGAAAAACTAAGATATCTCTGCAAGTGTAGGCATATAGTTAACCTGCCAATCAGATTCCACTTTCACTTTTCTCTAGACTGGTGCCCTTCAACCTTTCATCTACCCTCTATCTGGCGCATTATCCTATTGAAACTAAGATATCTCTGCAAGTGTAGGCATATAGTTAACCTGCCAATCAGATTTCACTTTCACTTTTCTCTAGACTGGTGCCCTTCCACCCTTCATCTACCCTCTATCTGGCGCATTATCCTATTGAAACTAAGATATCTCTGCAAGTGTAGGCATATAGTTAACCTGCCAATCAGATTTCACTTTCATTTCCATGTGAATTTCTCAGATCTAACCACTCTAGGTAACCAGGGGCAAGTATCCCTTTGAATTCACATACTGTCAAGTTTAGTTTAAGAATTTTCAGTAGTATATAACTATTAAAATCTCTTTTGTATCACATCTAGGCCAATGTGTGTCTATTTTTTAAGGAACATGGCTATAACATCTTATTACTGTGATCATATTTTCAACGTGAGAATAAAGCCTACAATCTGGCACAGAGCTGTTGAGAAAACACCTAAACATGTTCCACAGCATGCAGGGGCAGATCCAGAGCAAATTTGAAGGAGGGGCAGTTGGTAGTTGGGGCACTGAAAAATTTTCAAATATTGGTTACAAGAGTACGCTGTTTACAACAATTTCAGATGCCTTTTCAGAATAAGTAACATAACTTTGAGGTAATCCTTGAAGCAAATTAACCTATTGGTCCAAGAACTTTTCTCATCTGATTCTCATTCTTCATAAGGGGCGCATAATTTCCAAAAAAGGGGCGCCAGACTTGCTTCAACTTGCTGAGGGAGGGGCAACTGCCCCTAGTTGCCCTCCTTAAATCTGCCACTGACAGCATGCATATACAGTCAAACATTTACCCCCTAAACCCATCTAGAGCTGGAGGGAAGAAAGGGATGAAACCTCAACATGTTCAATAAAATATTGTAGTTTTAAAGCTGAGAACTTTAGGAAGCGAGTGCAACTACGCATACCTGGATTGTTATTAAGAATCTGTGTTGGTTCTCTTCAGACAAAAACTATGAAGCAAACCGACTCCATAGTACTAGCTTGTGTATTCAAGTTAGGAATATGGAACTTATGCCCTATGAGAGTACAGTTATCCAAAATTCTTCAAGGACAGGCAATCATAGCATGACAGAGCTCACTGTCAGTCTTTAGTATTTGGAGACATGAATTCTAAGGGGATTACAGTGTTTCAATGGTTACCTAGGTAACTGTTCTAGCATTCAAAGAAAGAAACATGCTGTTTAACAATGAAACATTCCAGGATTTATTGGATGAAAAAGAGCTTAACCACCAAATGTCATTTTTCAATCTGCTCTTATTACATTTATATAATACAAGTGATACAAATGTTGCTATGAAAAGCAATGGCGACTTTATTTCGAAACTTTACTTATCTTTGAAAACAACATATATTTACATAAAACCTCTCTTCAGAAAGTATACTAGTCCATCGAAGAACTGCAGCACAAAACTGTAAACATCCTTTTTAAAGGCGAAGAACATATATCAAGTTTTAATCTCTATAACTGTTCATTTCGTCTGGCTAATGCAATCATCCGGGCAAAATTTTAGCGACCATTGATATCTTGACTTTCAAAGCAGTAGGCTAGCCGCCTTAAAATTCAGATACTTCTCTCGTCTGGCATTCGTCTCCAACAAATATAATGAACAATTGATTTTTATGCTGTTGCTTCAACTTGTTCTCCCTCACTTGTGGCAGGCTTTTCATCGTCTTTGGCATCGCTCTTTGACTTTCTTCTTGTAGGGCTTCGGAGCTCCTCCTTCATGTCTTTGAACGCGGGCATTTTCTCGCCAGTACTTCGGTTCCTTACTCTTGAGCTCACACGTTCTGGAGTTTTCACTTCTTTCCTTGGTTTCTTAGTCTCAGGACCTTCTCCACTCTTCTTTGGTTTCCTACCTCTGCGTTTTGGTGCCTCTGCATCCCCAGGTTCACCTTCTTGCTTGCCAGTTTCAGCTTTGTCTACCTCTGCGCCATCTTGCTTTTCAGCTCCATTCTCGTTGCCTGCCTCGTGGCTTTCCTCTGCCTTAGGGACTTCCTTGGCCTCTTCCTGTTGGTTATCTGTAGACTGTACAGGTTGTTCTTCTACTTTTTCCGGCATTTTTGAAGATAAATTCTGTCTCAAAGACAAGACTTTCCTTCCAAACCGCTTTTCAGAGCCAATTAACCGTTAGCCTATGGCGCGAAATGATCGTGTTTACCATGCGATATTTGGATTGGCATCACCTTGAACATGTGATACAATATAACCAATCAGCGGTGAATCCTGGTCTGGTTTGCCGCGAAAAAAACCTGCTACTAACTCGTTCGAACCTGTTCCCTTTTAGTTGTACACAATCATCACAAAGGATTTCAAAGATCAGACAATCGATCACCGTGATTGAAAGACATTGGTTTTTTCAAACGTGGCGTCGTGGCCAGTTGTTCCTCGATGCTCATGCTCAAAGTACACACTTTTTATTTTTAAGAATATGACCTATAAAAATATTGGGGCTCAAAATCGCTAAAATTTGAGAATAATATGACTAATCATCAAGACTTATATTTTTAATTTGTCTTAGTTTTCTCACAAAGCAAAACAACTGTCACTTTCCCAAAGTGCTGAGGAGAGGGGGGGAGTCAGGGGGGTCACTGACCCGGGGGCCTTGGCTTTAGGGGCCTGTAATAGTGCTAGTTTGGATTTCGTTTGTTTTGCAACTTGTAACCTTAGTTATTTAAACACCTTTTGCACATTCGATTGTTTAAAATTCCTTTTGTTATCTAATTGCACCTTTAGGTTCATTAATTATTTCATTTGGGGTTTTTACTATCTTTACTCAGTTTATCTAATTAACCTTGGGAGTAGTATCTTTTGTAATCACTATTATTTTGTAAATACCTAGCTATGTAGTATTTCAATTAGTTCTTTTTTGGGTTATGTTTTGGGCGTGTTATTTTACAAAGTTAGTTAGATTCATGGTTAAGAGCGATTAGGTTAAGATTGGTTAATATTATGTATGTTTATGGTTTTTTTAGAATACGTATGGATATTTATGGAATCGCGCGTGACGATTTGGATTTTTATGAATTACTCGATATGTTTACGAGGACAGTACTTGTAAAAGACTGTGCCTGATTAAACGAGAACAAATCGACATTACGGGACAACCGTAGAGAAATATTGCTTGATAATAACCTAATTCGCCGAACGATCATTTGATTGGAAGAAAGACGTTGAAACATCATTCATTTGTCACTTTGTCTTAAGTTCTCATGGAAGGACCAATTTGTCTCGACGGCAATGATAGGGTGGATTCGTTTGGCAAAAACCCCTATTACAAACTATCCGTCATATTCCACTGCTTAGACAAGATTTATTTTGTTAAAAACGTCATTCCATCCACGTTTCTCCTTCTCAAAGAAATAGCAGGAACCTCCCCTGAATTAACCCCCACTTAACCAAAAAACAGCGGCAAATCCCTATTTACCATCACAATTCAACATCCCCAGTTTAAATTGAACATGAAACTGGTAATAAAAATTCCCTGCCCCAAAGTGGTACTCCCTAACCGTGTTGAATAGATTTTGGTTACTGCTCATGATTTTTTGCTGCAGTAAAGCCGACATTCTCTAAAACGGATGTTACTGTGACAGAAAATGGCTGGTACTTTATTTATTGTTGTGGGTAAAGTACTTGCATCATTTCAAAATGCAAAATACTATAAAGCAGGTTGGGGGGGGGGGGGGTTCAAATACTCGACTGTTTACTATACTCGCTTATGGCAAAATGAGCAAACGGGGTACATACACCATTCAACCTAAACACTTAAATGCTGAATATTACTCTTAGTTGCCTAATAAATGCTTTCCTCTCTGCTACATCGTTTTTTAATTTTCAAACCTCATACTTTCACCTCTGCTGATTTTTGTAGCTTAACTTTAAAACCTCCTCGCCGCTCTGATTTTGATCCTACGAAAAATGATTTTTGCGAATGCACGCATCTTTTATAAGAAACTAAAGTCCCATGCTGGTAGGTTTAATTTGCTGGCCATTTTGCCATCAAAAGTTTCTTACATGTTTCTTACATTTCTTAGGTAAAGAATTTTCCAAACGTGCTTCCAAGGTAAAGTAAATAGTTCACTCACATTCAGAGTGATCAAGGAATTTTGTTTTCCTCGAATGACTAACTCTGTTGAGATCCGTAAACAGTTAAGCTCATTGAACTTCATCAGTTTCAAGTTGAACTCAAAACAAATTTTTAAATGGAAACTTCTTGAGTGTGCAATTCACTGAGAATGAATGCAAACTGCATGTCAAGTGTATTGTTGCAATATACAGTGATGTTTAATGTCAAGACTGTTTCGAGTTTCAACCCGGAAAATTAAAACTGCATATTATAAAAGCTTCTTAGCTTTTTTTCAATTTGGGTAGGGTTGTTTATTAACTTTCGAAAAATTGAGCCTAACGTTTCTTGTAGCCTGTTTTTACAAAATGAGTGTATTCTAGCGTACGCGTTGTACAATTTAATCAAGAGCAGAGAAAAATTTCGAAAAATAGGGGGGGGCTGGCTTTGATTTCCAATATAGAACACAAGGGTTCTCAAATTTACCCTTTGAAATAAGTATTTCTTCTAAAATTTAGTTGGGGGGGGGAGCCCAAGCCCCTTAGCCTCACCGCTATCTCGGCCCTTGAATAGAATGTTACAATGTGGCTTGAAATAAAAGTAAAATGGTGCAAGGAAACTAAGAGCGAAGTTTTTTTAAAATTACCTCTTTGGTGAGTGAGTACCATAAGTCTCAATGTGCCATTCTCCGCTAAGTCACGTCGTCATGTTGGAAGTATCTGCAAGCTAGAACCCCCATTCCCTTCGAAGTCGTGTGACTAGGCCAAGCATCTTTTGGAGAGACGGGATTTTCCCTCATATTCTCCGAATGAACGCTTGTCAATACAAGCATGCAACATAGCACTAGACTAGCCATTGAAAAGCTACGTTGCCTGTGCGCCAATACTGTTCTTTTACCTCAATTATATTTCAGAATTAAAAACCACTGTTTCTTGTACGAGGTAGACCTTGCTACTAGCCTGATTTGTATGTCACGAAGCACACCAATCAGCAACTACAGAAAACTTATGGCAGCACTAAATATTAACTAACAAATGCTTATCAAATGAAATTTTATCAGAATTGATTTCACGAGGGATGTCGTAGAATTTGATTTGACAAGGACCCGCATATTTTACTTGAATTGTATCATTCCCATTTGGTTTTAATGTTCATGCTTTCATTCTTGTATTAAGCCTTTGTGCGTTTGTTTTTATGCCTTTGGGGATAATAGAGTTCTGTAATTGGGGTCTTTGCACGGACGTTTGTCCCTTGGCTCAGATGAGTGTATTGGGTGGGGTTTATTGGGCCGTTTGAAATTCTCTTTCACCCTGTTCTCTTCTCTCGTCCCTCTCTACCCTTTTGACATAATACAAAATGTGTCTTCCTTGAGTCCGAGTTATTTGAATGATCTCTTAGAGGACAGGGCTCCTTTATTTGGCTGGATTCATTTCACAATACTTTATATGTTTGTGTGATAGATAAGGCTCTTTAAATGCTAATCAAATGAAATTTTATCAGAGTAAATTTCACGAGGGACATTTCGCTAGGGGTGTTTATTTTATCTTATTTGTATTATTCTCATTTGGGTGTCAAATGTCATGCTTCAATTTGGTATTTAAGTCCTTATGTGCTTCTTTGATGCCATTGGGAATAACAGAGAAGAAGGACTTATGTAGTTTGGGCTTCTGTACGAAAGTGTGAGTCCCTTGACTCAGATGGGTGTATTTAATTGCTTTGGGTCGGGATTATCGTGCCTATTTCGTATGCTGTTTCCGCTCTGTTCTCTTCTCCCGTCCCTCCCTCCACTTTCGATATCAAGCGTAGCGTGTTTCTTCAAATCCTTGCTTATTCTATTGTATTAGTCTAGGGCTTGTTTATATCACGGTGTTCATTTCAGTGTTCTTGTTGTTTTTCGTTTGGGAAAGACTAGATTCTTAATTCAGTCATGTTTCTCTTCCCCTTTCATATCTTAGGTATCTAAGATAGGACTGGAGCATCGGCTCTCTGGTGGGGAAAAGTGAATATTTCTTTCCTTGCCCATAACTTTAAACTGCTTGTACTTGAGTCTATTTAGCTGTATTAAAGGTTAGGATTTTGTATGGGTTTGGTGAAGCAATGCACCAACGGCCAATCATCGCTTCCTACGATGAGGGAATGTAGCCTCAAGACCTGATTTAATGAGGGATTTGGCCATGCCTTTTGCGGGAGCCATTGGTGCAACAAATTCATTTGTTGTTATTTTCCTCCCCGAGCAAGAAATAAAATGAACATAAACTTGTGACATTTTCTACCGCCTAACTGCCTTCTAGAGAATCTAAGAAAATTATAGTGCATCACTCATGGTTCACATGAGCCCAGTGATAGACATGGTGTCCCTCCTAAGATTACTTGATGACCTCCTGTGAGAATGAAACAAATTTCAACTATTTGGAAAAATGACGCGAGCCATGTCCTTTCTGACAAGAATATCTGAAAGGCTCAAGTTGTTTTGTGGAAAATCATAACTCAATAACCTAACATTATAAAAAAGTATGAAAAATTGACAATTTGATACTATCAAGATTAATTTTACGAAACACCAAGAATTATACTTGTCACAAAATTTTCTTTTACAGCAGTTAAGGCAAAAATGTTGCGGGAGAAATTTTGCTGTCAATCCAGTCTTCAAATTCGAGCAGATCTGTGTAAACACCAACCATGTTTCTCCTAGCACAGTCCATTCCCCAACTCACGACGCCTACTTGATGCCAAGGCCCCCCGTCCTTTGCTTGGCACATTAGCGGTCCACCACTGTCACCCTTCATGAAGAAAAAAGCAATTATTAGAATAACTTTTTTAGGCTGCATCCAAGTGTTGAAGGACATAACTGGAGGACATATCTTAATTGGAGGCGACTCGGCGAACTCCAAGTTCTTCGAGCCTCCTCATAGAAAGGAGGTCGCGAGTTGGAATAACCAAAATAAATAAATCTCCAATGAACGTGATTATGGAACGTAATATACTGTGCCTACGCAGCGAGCCTCGATGCGGAGAGAATGCAGAGGGGATGCGATAAAGAACTTTTTGCGTGTTGCACTTTCGTATTCCATTAGGGTGCTTGACTTTGGTACACTCTTTTGCTTTTCCATTTGTGCAAATCGTTAAATTTAGTCTTTACTGTTAGGACGTATCTTTGGACGTTGGCTTAGCCGTTAGAATATGCGAAGTTTGTTACAGGTAAGTTCTGCCGTTTTGCCGTTGTTGAATTCTATGCAATTAGATGTACTATGAACTATATTGCGTGTGGTACAATATAATGCTATAATAACGATCAATGTAAGTAAATTATAACAGGAAATTTCGAGCATAGTCAGTGGCGGCGCCAGCTATTACAGAGTGGGAGGATAATGGGCGCGGCGCGACCACGCCCCTTTTGCCTCGTTCCAGTGATTCCTCCCTTTTCTTGGGAAATTTGATCTACCCCTACCCAGCGCTTTTTAATCCATTTTTAGAAGAAATATATAGACCATATTATAAGAAAAGTGGGGAGGTAATTACCCCCCCCCATACCACCCCTTGGCGCCGCCACTGATGCATAGCCCGTTATCAAGTCAATCAGTCGTTGGTCCTGATAACGAGCTATGCTCGAAACGTCGTTTTCTATTTAAAAAAAATTTTCCTGGTACAATTTACTTACATTGATCGTAATTAGATGTACCGTTGAGAATTCAGAACACGTGCTTTATTCGTTTGAACATTCTTTCGCCATTGGACTACCTGAACCCGAGCTTGTAAAACCTTGTAAAATTAAGTGTTACACAAAGTGATGACGTCACAAAATCTATTTTAAGAATTTTTGAATTTGGACCCCATAGCCTGGAAGAGCAACATGAAATACTTCTGTGCAATATCAGTCAAATGTGTTGAGAATTGGCTGAGGTATGGTATCATGTGTATTGGCGCCTCTACCATCAAATACATAACTTGAACAGAGCCAAAATAACAGTGATTTGTAGAAAACTCCAAATGTTTCATTAGCAATATCCCAGCCGATTTTAGGCATATTTGCCTAATTTTGCAGATTTGGAAATATTTCATGGTGATCTTTTATCTTAGCTTTGTAGTTAAAGTTCAAAAATTCTAAAAATAGGTTTTTGGTGACGTTACACTTTAGAACATCATAATCTTTGTTATTTTAAAGATAACCACTGAACATTATAATAAACTTCAATTCATCGTTACCCTGCATGCGTCCTTTCCACCTTCCTTCCAGCCTGCGCACGTCATTCGCCTCGTTAACTTTCTATTAAATGGTTTGAAAATGGTCTCGCATTCCGCCTTGTCGATGAGCGGGAGCTGAAAACAAACAAAAATAACAAGCTATAGAAAACACACGCACATAAGAATCTAAAATTTTTCAAGTCAGCCTGACTAGGTTCCTATATAGTGGTATTCAAAAGAAATAAGGCTGTTTAGGTTCCAATCCCAAAACATCATTTCAATTTAAGATCTCGTTTTAAAAATACTTCAAACTTCTTTGTATTTTCTATTTTAGACATGAATGATATACTTTTTGCGATATTGATTTTATAGCGACATTAAGCTAAAGAATTTGTAAATAATTTGACCGTAATTAGCTACTAAAGGCGAAAAACTTCTCATGGAAAGATTTTGTGGACAAATCCTTTTGAGTTTTCAAACTTTGCATCATCATTTAATCCGCAACAAAATCACCAGCAATATGAAAAATTGTTTCCGAACTAAAGGTAAAGTGGGAAATCCTAATAAGGTTTGGAGTAATTTCCGAAATGGCCTTCAATTTCCAAAATTGAAGCGGCCTGTCTTGCTTTAGCTTTTCTAGAAAGTTGTAGAAAAAACATGAAGAAAAACCAGGCGAAAGCAACTTCTTCAAATATCTGAATGCTTGTAAAACAACACATTTGTGTCACCGAAGACATACAGTTAGGGTCCTGTTCATATGGAGAAATTTATCCCTGCTACCAGCATGATGCTGTAAGCGAGACGATTTTAAATCAATCTTCCTGCAGTAGAAACTCGCATAAAAGAACCTGTTTTTATAAGAACATTGAGGCTGAAATTTAACCTTTAAAACCCCATGATTAAGAACCTCCAAGAGGCTGAAATTTGGAAAGGTTCTTATATATATATATAAGAAAAAAAGGTTTTTAGAGTAAATCAGGATATGGTATGTTGCATTCTAATTGGACAATCTAACAACACAAATTCATTAGATTGGTTGAAATTTAACATAACAAAAGCTGGTTAAAGTGTGTCCTTTTTTGAGAATTCTTGCGGTGGAAAACATTGTTAATGTATGCAAGGCCTGTACGTGTATAAGAGCCTTGTTAAGAATCTTTTAGACTGGAATTTAGAATAGCAGCCTGTTAATTAAGAATCTATTCAGGCTGCCAGAAAAAAACCTAGGTTCTTTCATGCGGGTTTCTACTGTGTGTAGAAATGTTATTTCGCTTTCCGGGAGGTTAATTGAAGTACTAATCAGAAATGCGGAGACAAATAATTAAGGTCAAGGTTGCTTTTGGGCAAGAAAGATGATTTCATCTCAGTAGGCGGGATAGTGTGATGATATAATTCAAACTTCTATCCCCAGACACAAGAAGCATGAAAAGAAATGGGATTTTCTGCACCAACAAGAGTAACAAGGTTTAAATTGAATGGAGCATATAATGAATTGCCTGCGTCAATATCAACATTTGGATCCAACAGTCTTATGTCAATCGGGTGTCAATCGGGCCATTGATTTGGAATGGCCTACTCAACGAACTGAAATCCGCAGAAAATTTGAAAAGTTTAAGAATCTTATAAAACAATGGGACGGAACGAATTGCGAATGAAGTGCCTGTCAGCTTCTGTCAGTAAATGCAAATTAATCTTTAACTTAGTATCTATAATTACACTCTTTTTTTTATAAGAACAATTTTATAAGAACACGAGCCTCAAAACTGGTCAAAAGTTAAGAACAAATTAAGAACAAGCTGAGGCTGAGCTTCTGCAAAATGCAATTTTGAACAACGTTTTTTCTCAAAATCGAAGATTTTTAGCGATGTGTGGGTGCTTTTTCGGTGAATATTCAAATTTGTCAGCAAATTAAGGCTGTCTCACTCACTTTGTTGGCAAATGAGGCCTGAACACCACCTTAGAGCGAAAAAGCTAGCAATAGCACTGCTTACACCCTCTTAATTTAAGAACAAATTAAGAACAATCCAGCCTCAGAATTTCGAAAAAATTAAGAACAGTCAGCCTGAACTGAAATTTACTGGTTCTTATAAAAAAAAAGAGTGTACTTCAATGTACTAATTGGTAGCTATGTTCGATTTTGATTAATAAACCTTGTATATATATATGTATATATCATTAGCTATTGTTTTTATATCGACTTAAAATAAATTTACAACCATAATATCCTTACGAGATCTGCCAACGAGTCGATATGTTTATTGTATTCTAAAAAAGCCTGACAGCTTTTTCTTTCGTTCGAAAGTATGAAGCCGATTGATAACAATCTATCTGCCAACGAGTAAATGCCCTCTATATGAGTGAAGGCTCCCTTCACTCGAATTTCCCACGATGACAACAAACAAAAGGCTCCTCTCTTTTCACACAAAATTATATAATTTTGGAAAATATAATTATTTTCATGAGCTATAGAACTAAAGTAGAAGTCACAATTCTAGGCCCTACAAAGCATTTGCTGACGAACCCGGCCAACAAAAGCCTCACAATCACTAAAGAATGTATCGTCAGCAACGTGTCATGGCTACACGATAGCTACCCAGCCTGTGCTCAAGACCCTTAACTTGTAAGTAAAGTGTCTATGTAACTGAAAGCAAAATCTGGAGATAGGCTATTGCTTCGGAGGGGCGATTCACTCTTGCAAATAGCGTACGAGATTTTGCCTAAAACAAAAGGATTTCTGCAGATTTTCAGATAAAACAATAGGATTTTCACGAAAGGTGTACGAGAGTTTCTTAGAGTGATTTGCCCCTCGATTGCTTCCTTGCAACAAAGGTTCTGCTTCGCTGTTTAAGAAAATCAGTTAACCGAGGTTTTTGGGTGAAAGCAATAGGCAAATGAAGAAAACTAGGAAAATTTCAAAAACTTTCAATTGTGTGTTGGCCTAATTTTTGAAATAGTATATATCATGCATGCTGCTTAATAAGTCGTTCCCTTAAAGGACGAAATGTTCAAAACATTGAATACAAAGTACTAATGTTATCAAGCGAAAACCTCTACTTGAACACAAGCTGAAAATACCTTTACATCTTGAAGGACGTCTACTTTCTTCTCAGGATTTTTGTTGTCTCCCCAACCAGCAACTGTGCAATCCGTAAGGGCCGTTCTTGAGAAGACACAGACTGGCCTAATATTTCTAGAGAATTTTACAGGTTTTGCAAGTTTCAACAGAGCAATGTCGTAGTCTTTGGTCAAAGTGCTAAACTTCTCGTGTACAATTATCTTTTCAATTTTGACAACAGTATCATCATCTAGGGAATAATAACATATTCAGTGGGCAACCAACAATATATTCAGTTAATACTATCCAGAAACCGAATAAGGTCTTTTGAATGATAGTTGACGATACTTATAAGGAAAAATATCCAGAACAGTTAATGCATTTTTTGCCAACAAATTAAAACACATGTGACAGAAGAGTGTGTTTTTGGTGTCGTCCATAGAAACATCTCCAGATAGTCAAAGGATCCTCATGGACGAAAGTTATGGTTTTTCATCAAGTGATAATTTAGGCCCAATAAACATAAACATTTAAAATAATTGAGAGGTTGACAGAATGGTTGACACCAGTGGCATAGATAGAGGGGGTCAGAGGGAGCAAAAAACCTCCCTGTAAAGCTACACAGTTATTCTGTCGGAAAATTTCAGATCTTGTCTTTATGAAAAAATTGCTAGATTTTTGTCGAAAATTTTTACTTCCCCCCCCCCCCTATGATACTCCTTGTCTGCAACACTGGTTGACATGCATTCAAAAGGATAACAGGAAGTTTATAGTCCCTGGTTCATTACTTCTTTTCAGATCAGATACGAACTTCCTTTCTAGATTTTGGTGAAGCCAAGCATTTCAAAAACTCACCATCCTTAGTTAGATCAAATTCGCCAACCTTTGCAAGATATGTCGGTGGGTCTTTTTCATTCAAACGTAGAAAGCAATGAGCTGCACATAAAACCCAGCGATCACTCAGCAAACTTGCGCCGCAGTGGATTTTATTCAGGGTTTTATTTTCAACAACAGCAACCATCCAAGGCCATTGCCCGCGTCGAGCTATGTTCCCGCCCACTATTGGTGGTACAGAACCAAGACCACATCCATCGCCATTGACAAGTGAAGATAACGGCGGCAACGTTGCAGGAGTGTTTACTACAGGAAGAGGCCCCTTGGTATCAATTGGAGGAGTTTCTGTTTTTCCCGTTGGCTTTGGGGGTTCAACTGGTGGTTGTTTTGTGGGAACGGGAGGAGTTGCTGGCTTATCGGTTGGCTTTAGGGGTTCAACAATTGGCCTCTCTGATGGGATGGGAGGGGTTTCTGGTTTTTCACTTGGCTTTGGGGGTTCAACTGGTGGTTGTTTTGTGGGAAGGGGAGGGGTTTCAGGTGCTTCAGATGGCATTGGTGGTGTTGCTGGTTCGTTGGTGGGAAATGGAGGTTGAATTGTTTCGTCTGTGGGGATTGGTGGCATGACTGGTGTTCCTGTAGGGAGTGGCGGCGACTTCGGTTCAACCGGCGGTTGTCCAGAGGGAATAGGTGGTGTTGGTTGCTCTGTTGTTTTCGTTTGGGTAGTTTTGATTTGCGGTTTGGTCGTTGGTTTCGGCTTCGGCCTTGGCTTTGGTCTTGGCTTCGTATCTTAGAGAGCAAGAGAAAGCTGTAAGGCTGTTTTATAATACAGTAAACATGCTTCATTTACCTTGGCCACACCACTGACCAATTTATCTGCAGGGACGGATTTAATCAATAATGATTGGGGAGGGGAGGGAAACGCCGATTTTTAAAATTCGGCTTTAAGCTCAGCTTTAAGGTAAAGAAGATTCGAAGCAGTGGCGTAGCCAGGGTTGGAGGATTGGCGGGGCAAAGTGGAGAAAATATTTGCTGACCACACCTTTAAGAATGTAAGAAAACAACCCATTTTGTAAATGCGTATGGAAAAGATATGGCTTTTTTACGTGGCAATTTCGATCCTAAGGAATTTTCCCTTACTATTTATACAACGTAATATGTAGCTTTTTATGATATGTAGCATTTTGTGACTGACCCCATTCTACAACTGTTTATTTGGTTCACGATTATCATAACGTTTGTATTCTGAATTGTGTAGGGCGAGGAAGCTCTACGTGTAAAAGCTGAGTTTTTAAAGTAGTCAAAAAATAGTAAACAGTATTCAAAAGGGTATGCGAATTGCTAAGAAATATACCACATAGTTTGCAACTTCTGCGGCAATGTTGATGCATATAACGAGGATTTCGAGTGCATTCGCCATTTTGAGCCCATTGTGAGCAGCGCCTATCGTTGTCCCTGCAATCTACAATATAATTTGACGTACAAAGTCAGGGGTCGTGAGTTCGAGCCTCGCTCGGGTCGGTTGTTTTCCCGCACTCTCTATTAAATATAATTAATCCTTGTAAAAGTTCCGTAAAAGGTTGTTTTGAATACCTTATGGCAAGAACCAGCAAAGGGGAACGTCAGCTGGCTTTGAGTGTGATACTACCTTGCAATGGCTAGATTTTCACCTAATAAATCTATAATTCAACTATATGACAGGCAAATTGCGAAAGCTGTCTCTCGAGTTTATGAAAAATTCACAGTAAAAATCACATACTTCATCCAGTACAAATTTTAGATTTCCAAGCCGTTTAATCCGAGAACAAATGTTTTAGCTTCTTTTATCATTCGCAGAAGAATAGCAGTATCTGTTTTATTACCAATAGCTATTTGGAATAATGGTCAATTAATACTGAAATCAAAGAAGAAATGAGACGGCTTGAATTTAGTTTGGTGCGGGATTATAGTGTGGAGATATGAGAAGGTTTTTGCAGCAGCAAAAAGTGTCACACGTCAATGCTACTATTCTTTTGAAATGCTCCTCATATTTTTGTCAAGGGATTTGTTTCTGTTGATGCTGAACTTTTCTTATTTTTTTGCGCCGAATAATGAAATATCTTATCTTCTTTATTGTCAAGAATTACTTTCTGATAAAAATGAGTGTAGTTGACACAGAAGGTATTCATCGAAGGCGACAAAAGCAAGATTACGTACCACTCGTACCACATAAGCCGCAACTTTTGCGACATTGCACGTGCATGAACCTAGAGTTTCGATTACATTCGCCGGAATTTGCCCAGTAGGCGCAGCTTTTACGATTATCCTTGCATTCTGAAAAATCAACAATCAGTATCAATCAAGATGATAAATTGGTCACGAAGGTTGCTAAAAGGTTTGGCGATTTATCATCCTAAACAGAGAATTATTTCAGGGAAGGTTTTTTCACGGCTGTTTTTGCAACTTATGTCTTACGCAGGAGATATCCGGCCCGGCGTGGACTAACGATTTCCCATTGTATGTCTACTACTTAATGGCGTATACCCGGCGTGAGCTTTACATGGATTCCACCCTGGCGTAAGAAGAACCATATCTAAAATCGTTACAGGTACGGGTTGGAGTTTACAACCATAGTAACAAAAAACGTCAAATTCTTAGAAACAGCTCCTTTTAAGATATGTTACAATTGAAAAGATCAGTGGCGAAAATTGGGGGGGGGGGGTGTGGGAGCACGAGTGACCCTCCCAGATTTTGCTGAAATGTCAGTTAAAACACCGTTTTTGTGCTTTTGTCAGTAAATTATGTCATTCGTCGGCAAATTTTATTGTATTGTGGGTTTTGCCTCCCTCCCAACCTGAACATCGAATTTCCACCACTCAAATAGAACCCCTTGAATGTGTAATTAGAGTGACTATTATAGCACACAAACCTTTGACAGTCTTTCTACTCGAGCAAAACCCGCATGTCTTCTTGCAATTTCGCATCATGAAATGCCTGTTTCTGGAGCAATATCCATATGCTTTGTACGATAGGCAGTAAGGTGGAAGTCTATCGGAACAATCTATAAGTCAAGGAATGCTTTTCAATAATTAAACTTTTACTAAAAGTATATGAAACTAGAAAAAGCAGAAACAGGCATTATTATGATATTTGCTTTAGATACTCTTTTCTAAAGAACTCCAAAAATATTTTTATGAAACAGATCAAACCACTTGTAAAAAGACGTTGCTGCTGACCGAATACTTTCACGTCCTTTATTAATAAACTTATTTTCACAGTTTTATACATAGGAATGTCCATTTGTTGCTTCCTCCGATTAAACAAAGTTCTTGTCATACTTTGCATACAGGCCAAATGCTTGCAAGCAAATATTACTTGCTGCTTGTTATGAAAACACCAAGGATGGTTAATAATTTGACAAATTTCTGAAATACAGAACTTGGTTTAGATCGCGAAAACGCATTTCGATGAATGTTGAAAGCAATGCCGGTGTCATATGCGTTTCGGTAACCTTATGCATTTCGGTCCGGGTACACAAACGCATGGCAATTTTGGTTATGTAAAATCGTACCCAAGCACTTAAACAATAGGGTACCAAAACGAACGGTGGAATTTAGCATGCAAAACGGTCCGGGTACACAAACGCATGGCAATTTTGGTTATGCAAAATCGTACCCAAGCACTTAAACGATAGGGTACCAAAACGAACGGTGGAATTTAGCATGCAAAACGGTCCGGGTACACAAACGCATGGCAATTTTGGTTATGCAAAATCGTACCCAAGCACTTAAACAATAGGGTACCAAAACGAACGGTGGAATTTAGCATGCAAAACGGTCCGGGTACACAAACGCATGGCAATTTTGGTTATACAAAATCGTACCCAAGCACTTAAACGATAGGGTACCAAAACGAATGGTGGAATTTAGCATGCAAAATGGTCCTGGTACACAAACGCATGGCAATTTTGGTTATACAAATCGTACCCAAGCACTTAAACGATAGGGTACCAAAACGAATGGTGGATTTAGCATGCAAAATGGTCCTGGTACACAAACGCATGGCAATTTTGGTTTATGCAAAATCGTACCAAGCACTTAAACAATAGGGTACCAAAAACGAACGGTGAATTTGCATGAAAACGGTCCGGGTACTCAAACGCATGGCAATTTTGGTTATGCAAAATCGTACCCAAGCACTTAAACAATAGGGTACCAAAACGAACGGTGGAATTTAGCATGCAAAACGGTCCGGGAACACAAACGCATGGCAATTCTGGTTATGCAAAATCGTACCCAAGCACTTAAACAATAGGGTACCAAAACGAACGGTGGAATTTAGCATGCAAAATGGTCCTGGTACACAAACGCATGGCAATTTTGGTTATGTAAAATTGTACCCAAGCACTTAAACAATAGGGTACCAAAACGAACGGTGGAATTTAGCATGCAAAACGGTCCGGGTACACAAACGCATGGCAATTCTGGTTATGCAAAATCGTACCCAAGCACTTAAACAATAGGGTACCAAAACGAATGGTGGAATTTAGCATGCAAAATGGTCCTGGTACAGAAACGCATGGCAATTTTGGTTATGCAAAAACGTACCCAAGCTTGAACTGAAACGAATGGCGGGATTTAGCATGTGACCTGGTCTGGGAACACAAATGTTCTGATTCATAATGCTCAGAATGTCAGCATGTATGCTGATGTCAGCATGTATGCTGATGACACGGCCATTTCCCTCTCTTCAAAAAGTATTGGTGACCTTCAAAATGACCTGAACTTAGATCTTTTGAAACTACAGGATTGGTTGCATGCAAATAAACTTTCCTTGAACGTAGTGAAAACGCAGTCACTTGTTATAGGCTCTGGTCCAAACATCCGTAAGATCGAAAGCCAGCCTGATGCTCCACCATCTTTTTCTTTTTCAATAGGTGATCAGAACATTGAAATGATCACCAACTCAAGATACTTAGGTGTTCAGATAGACAGTAAGCTCAACTGGGACAAGCATATCGATACTATCAAGACCAAGGCTAATCGAGCCCTTGGACTTATTAAGTATTCTAAGAAATATCTTCCATCTGACATCCTCATCAAAATGTATAGAGGAATTGTTGAGCCCCATTTGAGCTACTGTTGTTCCGTTTGGGGCTGCTGTAATGAATCAAAGCTTGACGTGTTGCAAAAAATCCAAAATAGAGCTGCCAGAATTGTAACTAGCAGCCCATACGATGCGTCTGCTGCTCCGATAATTCAGAACTTGGCTGGTTAACCATCAGAAATCTTGTAAGAAAGGAGACAGCCACGCTAACTTACAAATCTCTAAATATGCTTGCACCAGACTATTTGAGAAAATTATTCGAAAAATGTTCGGATGATAGAGAACGGTTTCTGCGTTCATCAGAAACTGATCTTAAGATACCGCTGCTAAGAACAATAAATGGCCAAAAGGCTTTTTCTTATCGCGGTCCAAAACTGTGGAATAATCTAGAAAGGGCTACCAAATTGGCCCCCTCCCTGAAAACCTTCAAAGAACAACTTTAGTCGGGGACAACTTTTATTTCATCTTTACGTTCACTTTTTATAGCCTTAGTATTATTAGATATTGTAAATTAGGTTTGATTGGTAAATTTCTTTTGTTACTAGTATTTTAACATAGTTATTAGCTCTTATTTTATTCTTTTAAACAGGTCAGGTTGAAAAACATATGTATGAACCTTTAACCTGTATAAATATTATAAAATGAAAAAATAAAATGAAAATGAGAATGTAAAGAACAATCGAACTATTTCTAACAAGGGGGTACTAACAGGAAGCGGTGCTGTGATTTCCCTTGTAAACAGTGGCGTACCCAAGGTGGGGTGGGGAATAGGGGGGTCCGGACCCCCCACTTTTCTAAAATATGTTCGAGATTTGTCCAAAAATGATGTAAAACTCATTGGGGGGGTTAGTGCAGTATACTGTATGCTTGTATCAATAACAATTGTAAAATACTTTGCTATTTACCGTAGCTAACACTAATCAAATAATGGGGGAAAATTTGGCAAAAAGGGCGTTTCCCCGCATTTGCAAGTGTCTGAAGGGCGTGGTCAAAAAAAATTCTGGGGGCTCTGCCCCCGACCCCCCCCCCCCACTGCTGCAGCCCTGGGTACGCCACTGCTTGTTAAGTATATGCAAAAAAGTACAACATTAATGGCGACTCCAAAGTTTTCTTGATTAAAAAGTGTGAAATTTTAAACAAAAAAAGCATTGTGTTCTATTTGTTAATTATAATGTATCATAATATCGCACTACGATGAAATCACTTGATTTGAAACACATTGCGTTTCACAATGTTGCACTTTTGCATAGGGTACCAAACTCGAAAATCATTGTGTTTAATTTATTAATTTTGAAGTGTCATAATTGTAAGAAACTCGGTTAAGCAATACGCAGAAACTTCGACGTCAAATTTCAATTCATCTTTATGGCTTAGGCCATCCACTTTACAAAACACGCGGTCGCGTGACAACGAGGCAAATGGATTACGTAATCACCTAAAAAGATTTTCCTATTGGGTGGGGTTTAAACAACTTAAATTTACGATCTAATGATTTAAAAGATATTATTGCTCTTACAATCTAACATGATATCGCATCACGATGAAATCAAATGATTTGAAACACATCACAATGTTACACGTGTGCATAGGGTACCAAAACGCATATTGCTTGGAAATCAATTTCATGAAAAGGGCATTTTGCTGCCCCCGATCTGCCCCCACACAACAAGGGCAACGGGGGCAGCGGCTAGAAATTATTGATCGATTAAATGGCTAGCGGGTTGCAATCACTTCTCAATCGTAGAAAGCTACCTTCATGTCTTTATCAACTACAGTAATTTTTGATGTAATAAATTCTGTTTAATTCAAAGACAAATTGTACATCTCTGGTCTGCGCTTCCTAAGACAAGCCCGTCAAATGAACTGTGAATCCATTTTGAAGGTTTCATCATTAACGATATAAATTGTGTTAGAAATAATTACGATATAAAAAGGGAATTTCACTTTCAAAACTTCCCAGCTATTTCGTTCGATAGAGGGGGCGGTTTTCAAAACGGCTTCGGACGGAGATGGAGAATTGTTTGATAGTGGAGAGATACTTTCGGTTTTAAAAAATATCTTGATACCTACTCCTGAATCTAACTCCTGAATATATGCAGCTAATGCTTACGAAATTGTCAGAAAACAGTTCACGGTTTCTCCCCGTAATACAGACACGAATCTTAGAATACCTCGCTTTGCAACATCTTACGGGCAACGTAGTTTTTCATATCAAGGTGTGAATGTGTGGAATAAACTAAGCACAGAAATAAAAAAATCCCCCTTCACTGGCTACTTTCAAAATTTTGCTGAAACAATCTTAGAAAAATTAAAGGGTGTGTGAGTTCTTGTACAGCATCAAACTTTATTTTTATTTCAATTTTTCTTTTCAAACCAGAATATCCTGTATTTATATTAATTTTATTTTATCTTTGTTATTGAATTGTATGTTGATTAGCTTAGATTTTTAGAGAGGGCACATTGTAGATTAGTTATTATCTTTCATTACTGAATGTATTACCCTGTACAAATAAATAAAATTCAAATCAAATCAAAACAACCTTGAGTATGCCTTAATCTCAAAAGAACTTGCAAAGGACTTACCAGATACAGACACTCCTTTTACGCGACAAAGGCCACAGCTCTTTCTGCACAACTGAGACACAGAACTGAACATGAAGTGATTGCGTCTGCACCAGCCTTTTCTAACATACCAACCACAAGAAACAATATCCCTGCAAACTAAATGCAGAGATAAAAAATTTGGAGGATCAGACCTAACAGCTGATCATGTTTAAAATCTGGATGAAAACGGAATTTATTAAAGATATTTATAAAAATTAAAGATATTTAGAAAAAGAAAAATTTGATGATGAAATAATGACAAAACTTACCGTGTTTGAAAATAATTTTTCATGCAAAATGAAAAGTGAAGTTTAACAAAGCATAGTTTCAAATTGCAAATAAAGGATGCAATGGTTGAGAGAATACATGGAACCCTCTTGCAATAGAAATAAAAATTAGAACTTTTAGACAGTCATCACCTATTTCACAGTCTTCAATTATTCTTTGATAGAAGCACTCTTATAGGACCTCAGTTGGCTCAGTTTTCGTGTCAAAATTCACTTGTCAGTAAATTTAGCACATTGGCGGAAAGTGTGGTGCAGTTGGGGGGGCATGTACCCAGTTTTTGCTAAATTGTCGGTTAATAAATGGATTTGTCAGTAAATTTTGTGTCAATTTTTTCGAAAATTTGCTTGTTTTTGTAGGCATTGCCCCCTACCTGACAAATAAATTTCCGCCACTGATGTAGCAACTTATACTCCTTTACTTGTGACAGCCCCCTTTGGAAAAAATTTCATTGTAATTTAAAGAGGTCTCTGCCATCTTGGGGTGCTTTATCGGCGAAATGTCAGACTTGTCAAATAAAAGCAAATAAAGAATGGGTTATCCACATTGTAAGCAAATGGGATCTGAGCGACCTTTAGCACAATAGCTAGCTTTCGAAGACTTGGAAGACCTGCAAGTCAACAGGTGTGGAGTTCCAGGTAAAGGGAAGGGGAGGGGGACAATAAACAGGGTCCATAAAATTAAGTAGCTAGGGGTAACGGTCAACGAAACTCTGACCTGGAACCAACAGTACAAAATCTAAACGTAAAATGAAAGATGGATTGTCTTTGAATCGCAAACTAAAAAGTATTTAACCCCAAAAGGCCAAGACTTTGTCTACAGAGCAGTGGTTGAATATAATCTATGATAATGTAATCCATGTTTTGAAGAAGTAAACAAGTGGTTACTTTGCGTAGTTATCATGTCTGTATTGTACTGTCCTGAGCATTTCAAGGGCACTTGTTGATTTATCAGTTGGCAAAAGGGTAACTCGGTCAGCTGCATTATACCTAGATTTTTGAAGTGATGGGGCATGTGCCCCCTGTGTCCCGGTTCCAGCGTTATCTGAATGGACAGCGAGCTACTTCATATCGTGTACTGGAGTTTGGAAATTATCGATTCGGAAGTGAAGAAGGTGTCCTCTTCAAAACATTTAAAGTTGTCTAAAAACAATGTCAGGAAAGGATCAAGGCCCCAGGGCCACTGGCCGAAGGAAGGTCGTGACAAACAAACAAAAAATTGAATAACGTGACCAAAATTTTGGAAACTTGTGGAAGTTGAAGGAATCTTGTTGCTTCTTGCTTTTCAAAACACAGCCAGACAAGGTTTAAATGAATGTGTTTGCAGAACTGCTTTGCACTGTAATATTAATCATGACATGCATTTGTTATTAATAGACCACTTTAGCAATGACGTAAATCAAGATTGATAACGGGGTCTGCACGCCAGAACAAGAAAAGTGATGTTCCGATTCCGATATGCAATGTGCTTCAATAAAAAAAAATGGCCATGGAAAGTGTACTCGAGTCACCTCTAAATATTGAATCGCTGATTTGTATAACGATATGGAAGAATTCAATGCGTCGCCTCCAGAAGAAAGGCTATAGAGTGTTTGGAAGACTTGGGAATTTTTTCTGTGAGAAGGAACTTGAAATTTTTTAAAGCGGCAAAGAGAAGATAACTGGCATGATAGCCCTGTCATGATGGCATTGCTTTCCTTCCTAGCCCTGCAAAGACATTCTCGCGAAAGCGATCAAATTTGTGCAAAAATAATCATACAAAGGGAAATGTGACGAAACATTTGTGCAGATAAGAATAAGAATTCGCAAGGCAATGAAAAACAGGTAATCAGAAGTTCTACAACCAGATCCATACTGGTCGACACAAGCATTTACTATTGGTTACATTACCAAAAGTAAGAGAAATTGCCTACAGGTGGTATTAGTGTGGTTTAAAAGAACAAAATTTCTTTACATATTCTGATTTTGAACATAAATTTGATAAATAAGAAATGGCACTAAGAGGATATACAGAGAAAAACGTTTCTTAACGGCTTGATGAGAAAAATATTCGATCGTCAACGTTAAAAAGCTGTGAATATCTGCAGAAAATACTGGAGTCAGCCAACTAATTCCCAAAATCTTTTTCACACAAATTATTTTCACCTTTTACAGGGCCCCGCACACCTTAAGCTAAAAAACTGCAAGATCTGCAGCACTCTAGTGATTAAATTGAAGAAAATTTCGTAACCAATGAAGACTAGGGCGTGGGAAATAACGGTGATCAGCTTGAAGCAGAAGATGATAAGTGGAACTACAATTTCTTTGAGAGTTCCAGCAAAGGAGACAGTGATGAAGGATGAATGGATTTCATATAATTTTCTATGCAACCAAATTTTAATTTTGAATGACTTTTTTAACTAGCTAAATATTTTTGGGCATACTTTCACGTGTTATCCAACTACCTTTAAAGGAAGATGACGTCATAGAATGGTGCGTCATGAAAGAAGGTTTAAAAGTAAGTATAATAGTAATTCAATATATCTTTCAAAAGCCCTGAATGTGTGCTATTCGAATATGGAACATATTTGACAATGATAGTTGCGAGAAAACAATTAAAAAGGTTCAAAGTGAAATTTCTCCAAGTTGATGACGTCATCAAAAATTTACTTCCGCTTAAGATATTTTTCATTTATCTCGGATTTGAAATCTGCTTAGTTAATTTAGTGCAAAAATGCAAGAAAAGTTGAGGTCAAGTCCTTGGCTGATTTTAAAAGATTTTTTTATCCTTTTTTTGATGACGTCATCAAAAACAGTAACTTCCGATGATAATTTTTTTTGGCCCATCTTATATTTGGAATCTCCATGGTCGATTTAGTAGGAAAGTGAATTATAATTTGAGGTCAGGCAGTTTGCTAGTTTTTTCTACAAAATACTCTGTCTATCAAGCAAAGGTGAAAGAACCGAACGGAACAGTGGATACGTTCCCTCATTTTTTCCAAAATTCAGTTTACCTGCCCCTTTGCAGCTCATCGAGTTGCTGTTTTTGCCAACTGCATAACCAACAAATGCCCTCTAACTGCTTAGGTGCTATACAAAATGAGCAAAGGGGTGACCTTTTGAGGGCATGATAAAAATGTTTTTACTCGGTCTGCTTTTAGAAACCCCAAAAAACAAGGGTTACCAAAATTTGGTGGCGATGAAATATTGGCTTCCAGTTTGTGAAAGCAATTAGTAAGACATAGCAAAATTGTACAACTTTTTAAACGACTGCAAGAAAAAAATAATGCAAAAAATATCCTGAAATTGATTTTTAGCTAATCTAAAGGGCATGGTCGCCAAAATTTTTCTGCTCTCTTCGCTCGCAAATGGCCTCCACTTTCCATTCTGCCGCAAGGCCTCCGAAACTCCTCGGCGGCACTACCAACAGCTAAACCAGAAAATGATATCTATATCCAGGCTTTTGAACCTTATAAGATGTTTGTTAGGCTGGTCACATGTTAGGCTGCCCCTTTAAACAGGTGTCCCCCACTTTCATTATGCTTCCTACCTCCTTGAATTCAAGACGTTTTTTGAATCAAGAAGTTTTTATGCAGCACGGTATTCCTATTCGACGCTTTTAACGTACCGACTGGTTGGAAATTTGTTCCAGTGGGTCCATTTGCTTGTCCTTGTCGGCCCTTTTGAATCCCCACTATTTGAAGTCCGTAAAAAATATCCTGAAGACTTGGCTTGAATTTGGTAAGCAGTGCTAGAATGCACATGTATCTTTATGAGGGGGGTACTAAAATCTTCTTAAAGATTTTGAACTTTTGAGTTTCTTATGAGATCCTTCCGGGAGCACTGGTACAATCTAAAAGCAAGTTTTTGAAGCCTTTTTGAAGCCGAATTGTCTCTATTCAGAAGTAACAATAATAGAATGAAATGATTCCTTCTGCTCTCAGCAAGATCTTTATCATACAGATCTAGCCAAAAATGGATCTCAGTTCCAAAAAAATAAGTACTCCCCAACTTTACAAATATTCAAGAAAAAATTTCAGAATTTTCATCGTTCAATTGTACTTTGATTTTTGCAAGGAATATGTATGCAACATCAGTTATATTTGATTTAAACCATATTGAGCATTGGTTATCTAAATTAGTTAGCTTTATTCAGCTTTAATTTAGCTACAGATTGTACCAACTTTAAATAAAGAAAGAAAAAAAACAGTATGTTCGGATGAGTTATATCCAAAAGTTATATCAAGCCCTGTAAATGGTCATCAGAACAAATTTTTGTTTTTATAAAAGGTAGGATTGGGTCCAGCCCCCCCCCCCCTTGATGGTTGATGTTGGGGTGAAAGGAATTTCGAGAAAGAAGTTTGACTGTAGTCTTGATTCGAATGTTTTCTATGAGTTTTGTCTCCATTTCTGGGAGTCATTAGGGCGTAACAAGGAAAAATTCCCTAGGGACTACGCCCCCAGACCGACCCTCTCTCCCTTAACAGGGCCTTCACCTACAACCAGGCTTCGTCGTTGGCTAAACGACGATTCCCGATTTGCCTCAAGCCTGATTTCCACGAGACGAATTTTGCGCGCGAAGCGAATTTTTCGCCACGAATATTTTAGCTGCGAATTTTTCTCTCGAATTCGAAGTTCAATTTACACTGGCAAAAAGTTTTATCCGAATTCGCTGCGAATATTACAAAAGAATATAGCGACTGTCTTAAGAGTGCTCTTATCAGAAAGCCTAAAATCTTAAATTTATCAAAAAAGCGAGCAAAATAGCAAAAATTTATTCAGGACGTCTTCAGAAGGGGGAATTCCATCTTTCGGTAAGAGAGGTTTACGTTTACATTTATAAGACCAGTATAATTTCTTCAAATACTTTCAAAGGTTCAATCGAAGCTTGCAAGAGCATGCGAGATCCTGTTAGTGCATCTGCTTAAAACTGTTGCTGTTGAGCAGGCCAATAAATAGCCAACAATTCAGCAATTTGAAGAAATTCTGGCCTATTTTTTTATTCCGACATATTGGTAGAATGATGAAACTTTCAGGCCAGTTTTCGTCAATTTGAAATTCAAATTTTTGAATAATAATCTGTTATGAATACACTTACATAAATTTTGTACGAGGAACAGGAGATGAATAATTACCAACTTATTTTATTGACGTTTAACAGGCGAGAATGTTTGAGAAAAAGAATGCGGAAAGACGTAGGCCATCTGAAACCAAAACAGTCAGGTGTCTTTAAATGCTGTTCTGATTGATTTATTTTACAAGGCGAAAAATTTTGCAGCGAAAAAGTAGGAACGATTTCTTCTTTGTCGCAGCGGATTATTCGCTACGAACTCTCTAATGTCTACTTCTGTGCATATTTTTCGCGCATTCGCGGCGAAAAATTCGCTTCGCACGAAAAAATTCGTCTCATGTAAATCAGGCTTCAGCAGCAAACTTTACTATTCCCAAGTTTGCTACTGAACTTTACTTTACTTTACTATTCTGCAGTTCCTGCCCCCGCCGCATCATGATGCTTCCAGCGCATCTGTTGGTTTGGCCGGGGCTTTAAAAGAAGTTTTCGTTATGATAATGATGATGATGATGATGATGATGATGATGATGACGATAATGATGATGATGATGATGATGATGACGATGCTGATGAATGGAAACAGGCACCGCGAAGCAGAGGTGCTGGGTGTGTGGGGGGGGGGGTTGCTTTAGCAGTGGCGTGGTGGCAGGGGGCCAGGGGGCCATGGCCCCCCCTGAATAGGGGCGCAAATGGAGATAAGGGGGCGCCAAAATTGTTTGCTTGTAATATTTGGCTAGGAACATCAAAAGTGATCGTACACGGGTAGAACACTTCGCTATAACTTGCTGCGAGCAATCTATAACTATAATAGAACTTGCTGTGTTGCTGTGAAGCACGTTGCGCTGCCATGACCCAATCAACATTTGTTTCGTATGTTTTCGTGTTAACTATGTACGTGACTTCATGTTTAGCAAGCCAACTAACGAAGATTTTGCGTATGCCAAAAATGTTTTCTATTAGTTTGTACTCGGAACGTCAAAAAGCCCGAGTGTACGCTAAAGATCTTCGGACCCAAGTACATGGAATGCACCCTGGCAATCAATACAGCAGCTTCTTGTTATTAACATCGATGTGACCATCACCCTTTCTTTCTTTATCCAACGCATGAATCCTCCCCTCCCAAATTTTTTCTAAAAATCAAAAATCAATGTTTTTCTGAGCATCGTCGAACTGTCTAGTCTGAGCGGTGTAGTAAATTGTTAAATTTTAGTCTGGGAGATGCATTTTTAGCCATTCTAGAAGGCTTGATGTCAAAAATTTTCTTCCGCGTCGGACCCAACCATGGTGGGTCTTCCTTTGTCACTAAACTTGATTCTTAGCCCAACCCCAGATTCGATTTTGTGCCCGCCACCTCTGTCCGATTCAATAGTGCGATTCAATGCTTGAAACTTTCAAGTTGTTGAAAAACTACCATTTAATAACTACTGTGAATAACAAACTTGAACCATGTTTGTATATCATACATCATATATGCGATGACACTAGGCTGATAAAATCGACCATAAGCAGTGGCGAAATGGACAAAGGTTACCTTTAGTTAAAAAAACTAAGGAGCCCGAAACAATAATTTGCTCTACGTTATTTTACTCTGAAGCTGGTATTTTGGATATAATAAACGAGTAGCCTGTATGGAACATCAGTGTAATTGAATCAAATGTCTTTTGATTAGTATTTTATGTTTTGCCTACCGTATGTCCTTGAAAATAGGCCGACTCTCGAAAATAAGCCAATTCAAAATAGCTTGATATTTTACCGAACCACGAGAAGGTCAAATTTTAGGATTACATAACTTTTCCATTCATATTCGCATTTTTAGTCAAACCTTATTTATGAAATTTTGGATTCAAATTGCAAAAATCGATCTCCCTTCTAGAAACACATGCTTTATATAACCACGATATTCTGTGACGATATATAGATAGGGCGCAAAAATCGACTTGGCCACCCCAGGGAAAACATAGCCACCCCGCCACTGGGCTTTAGCCCCACTTTTTGCAAAAAATGTCAAACATTAAGTAATAAACTACTTATAAAGCCTCTTTTTATAAGGTTTTAGCCCCCCTCCCACTTTTTTAGCCCCCACTTTTCTCAACGCTCCGCAGTGCCTGGGTTATATGGTCATCCGTGTATTCTTCGTTTTTTATTGATTTACCCTTATTGATTGGAGTGATATAACTAAATGTCATCAAGATGGACATCAGAGATGCAGTAACATCAAGATAAAAATTTCCGTAAGTTGCCCCTAGAAACTATCGGCCGTAATCAATCACAATTAACCTGTAATGGCCTCAAATAGTTTGCGCAAGCAGGCAATATTTTGATAAAATGCCTCTCGTATCGGCAAGTGACGGGAATGAATAGCTCTTTGATTCGATTCGCAACTCCTCCTCCATCCACAGCAAAATGAAATGTGAACTCACTAGCAAATTGTTAAGTACTTACTCGATTCGCAGTTGTCAACCATAATATACACACATATTGCAAAAAGCGTCGTTTGAAGCACGGTCGGTTTCATCCTAGCGTCGAGTTTTCTTTCTCTTCTCCACAATCGATCGAAGTGGACTGTTTATTTGGGCCTGAATGTGCCCAGAACCTTTACACTAGTAAAGATTCACTGCTTCTTACCGCTAAACAGCGGAAGTGAGCTTTATTGTTTTAAAACAAAACAATGCACAGAGCTACAAAAACTTAACACGTAGAAGCAGGAGTGTGTAAGGACTGATTTTTCCAAATTTATATACCATAACACAGACAGGAAGTGAGTAAGTTTCAACAACGAACGTCACAGATTTGGTTTAGTTGACACCGAAGCAAAGCACGTCAATCAAAATTTGGTTTTATTGACCGCAAGAAGAAAATTGTTATTTTAATTGAGGAAAGGGTCCTTGGATCGATAGCTCTTCTGAGTTTTCCCCAAGTGTCCTAAACTAAGCTGATTTTATGTACCCTTATAATTATTATACACTCTTCTTTACAAGAACCAGCTGACTGTTCTGATTTTTTCGCAAATCTGAAGCTGGATTGTTCTTAATTTGTTCTTAAATTAAGAGGGTGTAAGCAGTGCGATTGGTCTGATTTGCCAATAAAGTGAGTGAGACAACCTTCATTTGCCAACAGGTTAAAAATCCTCTTTTTGCGATAAAACAGTATTCAAAACTGCATTATACAGTAGCTCAGCCTAAGCTTGTTCTTAATTTGTTCTTAACTTTGGACCAATTCTGAAGCCCGTGTTCCTATAAAATTGTTTTATAAAAAGAAAAGAGTGTATTGTAATTAAAAGCTTGAATTTGGATATGAAAAAGAGATGACCGATCAAGTTGACTGCAATTCACTGCAGAAAATATGTAAAGACAGCATTCACTACAGGTCGTTTGAAATGGTCTTTTGAAGTTGTTTTCAGCCCAGCTCAGCTCTCAGACTTTCTTAGCTATTTCCTAATTTCATCGCTAAAACTTTCTGAAAGTCTGAATTACACGGTCAGTTTTTATCAGTTTTTAACTGACAGTTTTCAGTTTTCCGTCAAAAACTGATGGTGTATTTAGCAAAAACTGATAAAAACTGATGCACTGATGACCTTGAGTTTTTGACTGAAAAAGTTGAACACGTCCAACTTCGTCAGTTTTTAACTGATGGGATTTCTGTTCATTGGAGCAGACTCTTATGTTTTAATCTGGCACCACCCTAATACCCTAGCACAAGATGCAAATTTTTCAGAGCAGCGTTGATTTCAAAATGTGGAAAAGTTACAAACACAGATGAATTTATATCTGCGTGGAAGTACGGAAAATCGTTATGCAAAGTGACGTCAGACTCAAAAGTAGTTTCGAAATGCGAATATGTCGGACTCGAAAGTAGTTTGAGAGCGATCTCTTTTTAAATTTTCGGTATTTTGCCTTTTCTTGACGACCAAAGCTGTAGCAAAAAGCAGTTCGTTCACGATCAAGCTCCATATAAAAACAGAATGAGATGTCAGCAAAAAGATCATGTATGGAGGACATCTGCTTTGAGAGACTGAAAGCTATCAGTCAAAAACTGATCGTGTATGAAGGACATCAGCTTTTGAAAAACTGAAAACTGTCAGTCAAAAAACTGATAAAAAGTGATCGTGCATTTTAGGCTTTTTAAACGTAAGATTGGAAGATGAAATGCTAGAAATATGCTATATTTCTCAAAAAGCCCTCAAGGTCATAACATTTGTGAAAAACGTAGAAGCAAGGCAACAACCTATTTTGAAATATAAACATTTAGTGAAACTTCCTGAAGGGAGACCATTTCTATACAGACACTTCTTCGCACCTTATGAATTTCCTGTTCAGCACATTACTGAATTATTGAAAAAGTTCACAGCACAACTTCCTTTGAAACTTTGAATACCGCAAATCCTCGAATTGCCCCCCCCCCCGAAAAAGCCCACCTCTCGAATAAGCCCCCACCCTAGAACTACAAATTGTTAATAAGCCCAAACTGCTACCGTGAATTCTCGAATTGGACCCCTCCATTTGATGATTTTTGCCATCTGAGGTTGCCCATGGCGTTTTATTGAATTACCACAACAAATTCATACTTTTGGTAGTAATTAATTAAATGCTCATAAAGAAATTCCTACTAAATTAAACGAGGTCTTTTAATAATGTCTTTTTAATGTCTACATGACAATAATTTTGTAAGCCCCCTCGTATCTACCCCCCCCCCCTCGAATAAGCCCACGTCCAAAAATATCACCAATAAATAAGCCCCCAGGGGGCTAATTCGAGGATATGCTGAACTCTACACGCCGAAACAGAGATGACCTGAAAAGTGATTGTTGTTATTTTTTAGTTTCAAGTTGACGTCTTGAATTTACATTGAACAGTATTTCACATGATATTATTGTTGCGAACGAAAACAATTTCATACAGTGGTGAAAACCATTGTTTTAGCTTTTGAATGACGGACATAAAAACACAACGCTTTCTTGTGAATATATTTTAAGCCAAATCGCATTAGAAACTGGACCACTATACCCGCTGACCTTTTACTGCCTTCACAGTAAAGGTTGAGTCGAAATACCTTTACATTACGCAATGGGCAAAAAGTGGTTTAGCAAATTCTGTACGCCACGCCGTTTTTTTTTAAATTGCCTACACCATTTTCAGGGAATTTGTTGTCTTTGAAATAGCCTCGTTGCTTGAGTAGCTGACTATGATGTTGTTGAATCAATTTAGATAAATTAGCATACCAATTCCGAAGGATTTCTGGATCGGGGATGTATAGACAAGACAAAAATATACCTTGATAAATATGCGAGTTTTGCCTGATTACTTGGGTGTTTCATTTTGAAAGGTTCATGCACTACTGACTTGGTAAAGAAAAGTTTGGTTTACAGACTCTGAAGTTCGTGGCAAGGCTAAAGTTGAAAATTAGGGCTCACATTAACAAATACCTAGTGTCTTACACTACAGTGTCCAATAGACCATTCTATAGTGTCCTTGACTGTCCTTGACAACCTCATCACTGTAAGTTGAAAAGATTTTGCAAATATCATCTTCTATAAATAGTATTTCTTGTAAGTGTTATTGTTTTAATCAGTTTTATCGAATAAATAAAATTTAAAGCTGAATTGTATAAATTTTAGAACCAGGACCCCAATGGCCAACCTATAACCTTTTTTTCAATTTTGAAGTTTTATATAATGCTCTTTGATGTCATTTGTTCAAACTCAAAGGAAAAAAAGTGAAGGTTTGTGACGTCATCACATTGCCACTCTTTTTAAGGCCACGCAAAAAATGTTTGGCCTAGGGCCTCTACACGCAGAACCATAATCCCGCCCCATTTGATGGTTCGAATTCAGCAGTATTACTATAGGCAAGTCTCGCGGTGGTCTCTAGTACACCTTGTTCTTTTGTAACTTGTGGTAAATTGCGATTATACGGGGTATAATTAATGCTATAGACTTCACTATTGGCCCCCCCCCCCATTTCTCGGCAGAATCAATTTTTTGTTTCGTTTAAATTCGATGAGATAATAATGGGGGAGGGGTAACATTTTGCCAACGCACTTTTTAAGATGTAATGTTATGGTTTTCAAGCTGCCCTCACGTAACCATAAGTTGCCCGTAGGGCTTCCTTTAAGGGAAAATTGGCGTTCCGTGTTGGTAAAAGGGCGTTTTATGGTGTAAAATTTTTTGTTTTGTCCACCCCCTCCCTAGAGCCTTATAGCTGGCACCGCCGTTGGATCTCTGTTCCCCCTTTCCCTCAAACGATCTTCTCGTTCTATTCCCCAAAACCTTTTCAACTAAGCTTTTCATAGTCATTTCCTCCCAGAAATTCTCTATAAGTATTATGTATCTTGGTTCTAAGTATTATGCTCTATAATGGCACTTGCAAACTCATTTTCATTTCAACGGCTGAATGTATAATAGTTTGTTTTGTGCTGGCTTGTTGCTTCTCAATTTTCGTTTTGCTTACCAAATTTTTAAATTTCATTCAAGTTTTGTTAACGTCTAGTGTTCCGTATATTCTAATAAAGAATAACATATGACTTCTTTTCTAAATAAATATCATCAGGCTGTAGGAATCGAGAAAAAGTTAGATCTCATTTTGATGCATGTTATTGTAGATATATTGAGACATCTTAGGTCCCAATTCTCCTTGCCAGCAAATATAATTTGCTTGCTTTCCTTATCAATGCCGAAAAAACTATCGGCAGCAAAAAAATGGCTCTTGTACCGAGGGAAGGACACACACAAATTGATTCCTTCACGCAAAACGTCCAATTGACAGCCAGGGTGGGAGGGTAAAAGAAAATGTTTTCAAAAGGCAAAGATATCTATTATTTCAATATTGTTTCATACTTTTCCTGCCATATCCTTGTATTGTTAAAACGCAAAAAGATTACATCGGCATTAAAAATATGATACGTCGCCTCAAGTGGAAAACAGGTTTGGCTAGAAAGTGGAACAAGAGGGAACGGCGGCCAGAACAGGAACAACGAAGTTGTTTCGAACGATCAATTACAGACATAGGCCAATTTCGACTTCACAATCAAGATGACATTAAAGGCCATCGGCAGATGTTCAAGTGGCTTAAGCCATCAATCAATCAATTTAAGGCAATTAAGTAGGTTTTTAGATTGGGGTTTCGACAATAATATATGCAATACGTCAATTGGAGGCGTTTTGCGTAAAATAACTGATTTGTATGCAACATCCTATGTTACCAAACGGTTGCACAAATTACGTCACATTATGTGTATTACTTAGCTCTATAACAACGCATGCTTTGTCATGTTTCGCACAAACGGGATAACAGAAAACCATTCACTATACACTCATTTTTCTATAAGAAACAGGCTACAAGAAAGGCTAGGCTCAATTTTTCGAAAGTTAAGAAACAACCCTACCCAAATTGAAAAAAGCTAAGAAACTTTTATAATATGCAGTTTTAATTTTCCGAGTTGACACTCGAAACAGTCTTGCTATTGAACATCACTGTATATTGCAACTTAACACTACACTTAACATGCAGTTTGCATCCATTCTCAGTATTTTGTACACTCAAGAAGTTTCCATTTAAAAATTTGTTTCGATTTCAACTTGACATTGATGAAGTTCAATGAGCTCAACTGTTTACAGATCTCAACGGAGTTTATCTCTGAATGTGAGTGAACTAGGTATTTACTTTCCCTTGGAAGCACGTTTAAAAATGTCATTACCTAAGAAATTTAAGCAACATGTAAGAAACTTTTGATAGCAAAATAGCCAGAACATTTAAAAAACCGCCTACCAGCACCGGACCTTAGTTTTTTATAAAAAATAAGTGTATCGGTATTATACTCGCTATTCTAACGACAAAGATGTCGTTATCGAAGGGGTGTAATTATATTGCTTATCGTATTTTGTTTCATGTTGTAGCATTATTGAGTATTTCGTTTCTGTGGAAATGTTTTGAGCAGGTCGTATTCATTCATTTAATTCAAAACTCTGAAACACAGTATCCGTATCCTAACTTCTTGTTTACGTCAGACCCAATGCTGAGGTGACTATGAATTAAGACCAAGGAGGAACAACACTTTGGTAAAACAGTGAACAAAAATAAAAAACTACAACGAACTCGTTCAACACCTGCATGTTCTATACTGATCAAATCTGGTTTCTTATCGTCTCCCATTAAGACGGGGGTACGAGCCTAGGCATTACTATGAATGAATACACTATACTACTATGTGTTTTATTCTTTCAGTAATTTCACATTGACAACAATCCGGGACTGTTTACAATTTAGATGCAGCGGGCTGAAAATAGAGGAAAGAAAGAATGCACGGACAGTCATTGAGGTCATTGATGAATGACTTCGCTCTTTTTTTATAAGAACCAGTAAATTTAAGTTCAGGCTGACTGTTCTTAATTTTTTCGAAAATCTGAGGCTGGATTGTTCTTAATGTGTTCTTAAATTAAGTGGGTGTAAGCAGTGCTATTGCTAGCTTTTTCGCTCTTAGGAGGTGTTCTGGCCCCATTTGCCAACAAAGTGAGTTAGACAACCTTCATTTGCCGAAAAGTTTGAATATTCGACGAAAAAGCACCCACACATCGCTAAAAATCCTCAATTTTCAGAAAAAAACGTTGTTCAAAATTGCATTTTGCAGAAGCTCAGCCTCAGCTTGTTCTTAATTTGTTCTTAACTTTTGACCAGTTTTGAGGCTCGTGTTCTTATAAAATTGTTCTTATAAAAAAAGAGTGTACACATGGCATGTTCAGATTAATTGATAGAACAATGTAAAACAATTTGGATTGAAATACGGGATATCACAATTATAATATCGCTATTTTAAGCAATAAGTTTATATGTTCAAGGATAAAGGTAAATGCACAAGAAAGATGTATCAAATTCAGTGTCAATCCAAACTTTCGTAAGTTGTCATGAACTTGCGCTTATGGTTATGGACAAGGATTTTTGTTTTCACAAGTAGACTTGCGTATTCAACGAGCGGTGGATGGCGACAGTATAGGAAGGAACGAGGGGAGGGAAAAGGGAAGGGAGAGAAAAGGATGACGGGAGAGATAGCCTGTCTTCCAAATTGCAGTTTGAATGATTCATGGTACGCAGTTCTTTTGTGCTACGAATAACAGGATCTCTAATCATCTTTGTATCGAATACTTGCACATGCGCGGACAAAATGAGCTTGGAATAACTACAATTGCAAAATGCCAATTCAGCTGAAAATCAGGCACGCCTAATCGAAAGAAAACTATGACTACAAATAAATTCATCAATATTAATCGAATCTTCAATGAACATGCCATTAATAAGTAATGGCAGTAAGCGACATTGAGTATGCAAATAGTCCGTTTTCTTGTACAGCTTTTGATGGCCTAAGATAAATTTGCTAGCATTTCACCTAAGTGTGTTATTTAATCTTGGCTTAGTGGGAGCTTCATATCACAACTTTTTGCTAGAAGAATGAAAAATCGAATAGAGCCTGCAATTACACTGACTGATTACCAAACAATAAGAGAAAATGTCGAAAGAAAGGTTCGAAGACGACGAAGCCGATCGACACCGCCGGCTTCTGAAATAAACGCAATTGATGAGCGGCTGAGAATAGCGGAATCTGAGAATAGCAATGCTGCTTCCTCAGGGAAGAAAGCACCACTCAAGTTGTTACAGGAACAGGTCGTCGACGTAGTATCAGCTGAAAATTATGTAGAGTATCTGCACAAAGAACTGAAAACCAATGTAGTACATAACAGCAGAAGCAAATCAGATCAGTTCAATACTGAATCAGTCGATGCTTTAAGAAGAAAGAAATCCTCGAATGTACTACCGAGTATTTTTAGCTCTACGCGCAAAGCAGCATCGAAATGGAGGCATTATGTTTCGCATAAGCGCGAAGATAGCAAATTCCGCAAGCATTTCGAAATACTAAACCTTAAAAAACTTCTGGAGTGTGGTGAAAAGCGCCGTAGTACTTTGGTTAGGGAATCTTTCGGTTTTCTTGAGGAGGAATTTGATGGTTACGATGGCTCCAAACAGAGTATGGATGAAATTGCAAGAAAATCTCATGTGAAAAGTAAAGAGCTCATTAGGTACTTTATAACTCTCTCAAATTCCAAGAAAGATGACAGCAAGGTCGATCTTGATTTTGTGGAAACGCTGATAGAAGATGGCGCTGATCCGAATTGGCCTGATAAACATGGTCAAACTGTTTTACATGAGGTAGCACGTATCTGGCACCCCGATGTAGCACAGTTTCTGATAGAGCATGGTAAATTAGAAAATTACCTACTTGGGTGGTACCTGCACGCCTTCTAAAACCTAATAAAACCTTTTAAAACGAAAATTCATCCTTGGAGTTTTATATGGAGTTTTAGATGTTGTTAATTATGTTCTATATTTACCTTGGTTTACATAATTCCTGGGTAGGATTAAGGGTAGTGCTTGGCGAAGCAGCATTAGGCCCATTCTTGAAATAAGTCCAAATCAAAACAGACAAGAAGAGGAATAAACCCAATAAAAGGCCTCTTTTCTGCTGCTACAGCATCGGGCCCAATGAGTTGTCTGTCTTGATAGTGGTTGGTAGTAATAGGCCAAGCGCTATTCCAAAATATACGAAGAATAAATACTTACTCCATTTCACATTGACACAGGTGCAGCAGTTGACAAGGTAGACAAGTATGGAAGAAGTCCTTTGCATGTTGCGGCTGCCGTCGACTATAGCGAGATGGTTGAGTTTTTATTGTCAAAGGGGGCGGACATCAACTTGAGAACGTTGGGTGAAGAACAGACCCCTGTTCATTATGCAGCAAAAAACGATGCATGTAACTCACTAGCAACTTTGCTGGACAAAGGAGCTTCGATTGAAGACAGAGATTTTAAAGAAAGAACTCCTTTGCAGGTGAGGTCCTCTGCTTCTCTAAAATTCGTTTCTGATTGGCAGGTCCGCTGACAGGGGAGGGTCGCCGGGGCAAGTGCACCGTGGCCCGGGCTCATTCTGGGCCCTGTTATTATGGAATCTCATAAACTGCCATATTCTGGAATCTATGTTCGTTTTCAAGTAAGGGGCCCACACGAATTGGTTGCCCCAGAGCCCGGCCTCGCTCTCGACGGCCTTGCTAATGGGTTTTCTAATTATTGAGCTCAATGCTAGAGTTCTTTTACATCAAAAAGAGGTGTCACCTAACCAATTAGAAAACTTTCGCTTGGGGACTAATCGAACAAAAACAACAAATAAAACAACAGCAACAACAACAACAAATTCACTAGCTACATCAACCGCAACAATGGTATCATAGCACTGCATAATAGTGAGGGGATACATAAAGCTTAAAAATATACTTGGACTACAAAAGTATAAAATTTCACATAAAATCTCAGTCAAGAAGTCTCCCGAAGATAGCAAAGAAGGGCGAATGGAAGGAAGAACAGAAGCCCTTGAAAGCTAATTTTTAGTAACAACGTCAAAAGAAGGTTTTGTTAAGTTAAGAGGATCTTATGACCTGTTGTGCAGTAAACTCGATACTAAGGATCTGGTTGCTAACTTATCAAATACTCTTGGTATTTGAAAAAGCAACCACGAAGGGCCAACAACAGTGACAATCATTTATAAGTTCAGCTCAGATATCAGCTGACCTGAGCACATCAAAAGCGCTTTGACACATTGATAAATGAATTTACTCACGCATTTTGCGCAAATAGTTCCTTTCTGAACTTAGTCTAATTCTTTTCGTTTCCTTGATATGCAATGAGATACATAAAGACAGTTTCGAGACTATTTTTAAGTTGACTATCCTTTTAATGCCAGGATGCTCGGTCAACCACAGCTCATTGGGAGTTCTTTTCAAGCATTTTAACTTTGTAAGTAACCTGCCTGGCCGTTAATGAAGGTAAAATTGGGCATTGCGGCATTCCCAAGTGGCCGTTTGGCCGTTCATTGGAGGTGGTCGCAGTACGGAGGTTTTTGAATGAGATTTTGACCATAAATTCGGCAGGGACTTTCTCCACTGGTCGCAGACTTGGAGTTGGCCGTGGCACAGTGATGGTTATTAGAGGTTTCATTCTAGTGCTAAGAACCCTTGGTAGTTTGTGACGAATGGTTCTCTCATTAAAACTTTGATTGTTGATATTTAGGAAAATTTTGGGAGGGGAGTAGTCATGCTAAAACTCTTAAGACAGACTCTGAGGAAAGAAAGAAAGGGTGACCTTTGGTTCAGTTCAGAGCGCACATCGATGTGAACAACAAGAAGCTATTACATTGATTGAGAGCATTGTACTTCTTGATCAGAAATGTGCATCTTCTTTGTCTCGGGTATCGAGTATAGTAGGCCATGTTTACACATCGAAAATGCAGACAATGCAGTGATATAGAAAGTAATCTACTGAATCGATGCATATAATTGACAAATAATAGCAACACACTTAAATAAGTTATTAAATAGATCAAATATTCAAGCATTATATTAACTGTTTACTCTCTTTTTATTTCGTACTCTGTTTTTAAAAATAATGAAATAACAAAAATTTTTATCTCAGAAAAAGAGGGGGAGCTTCTTGGAGTGTTCTTCAGTCAACTTTTGCTAAGCTAGAGATCTTTGAAAGGGCATTTCTATCATATGCAAGCAGCTCTTCGATTTTTTTAAGCTTTGCAGCTAGATCTTGCTATTCTCTTTGCTTTTTGGGAATCTTCTACAGAAGACTTTTAAAATCACACTAAATGTTGCATGAAAAGTTGTGCCTGTAAGCAGAGCGTGACTGGAAACCGGGCAGTTGTTTATGTTTGAAATAAAATGTGATGAGGAGTGACAATAAGAGAGGTTTACTTCAACTCCTTAAATAACCACATCGACTAGCCATCCGGGCGAGTCCTCTTCTGCTTCTATAAGCGCCTTCTCGTACAGGCTCCCAAGAACATGCCTCATCTAAGTCTAACTAAAAGCCTCCAAAGGTATTGTCGTGTCTCTTCTTAGATACACAGTATTCTTAAAAGCAAAGGCCCTTCCATCAGGTCGCCAAAGCCTCATTCTAGCGGGTCATCTTTTGTTTGATCTTCATTCCTTTCAAATTCCCCGCACCCCATTCACGAGGCCCTTTATGTTTAAGTTCATCTCCAAGTCTCTAGTTCATAACTACAAGCTTGAGTTTTTATATAGATGAGAGATTGTTTCACCAACGATTTTGTTCCGTTAAAATTATTTCCTGGGTTTTACATAGACACTTTAAGGGGCCCATCGGGAAATCTCCCGGTTTCCTGCCTAGCCACAACGCCCCTGGCCTTTTCACGAGGGGGGAAATTCGATGACCAGGAGTCAATTCCCGCCATGACAGGCACAGTAGTTGTACGTCATTGAATTTTCATTTTTAGTGATTTTATATAAAAAAGTGTTGTTGTGTACTTCTTTAGTAATATATTAGATCTCATTGCAGCTTGGAGCGGAGCTAGACAGATCGGAAGCATGCAAAATCTTGCTGAACGAAGGAGCACCGGCAGGGGTCTGGGACGACAGCGGAATGTCGTGCATGAACCTGATGATCCAGAAAATGCCACCAGTGGTAGGTGGAAACTTTTCGCGAATTCATGGTTGTTCCTGGATTTGAAACACTAATTCGCCACGAGTTCTGATGACAGCGTTTTTGCATGAATTTATAGGCACCAAAAACTTGATCAAAATATGTCTACATTTATATTTCTAGTGTTATTTAGCCTGTCTAGCATTTAGATCTATGAGACAGTTTAGGATAACAACAGCTAGAGCATCTTTAACTTTCAAAGAAAAGTGAGTGATTTCCATATATCCCATGGTTTACTCCAATAAGCATCAGAAACGAATAGCAAATTTAGAAAAAACACAAAAATTCTCATTAAATGTTTGCGGAAAAACTACTATGAATCTCTTTTATCGCGGTCTTTGATAAAGAAGACTGACTTGTGTCAGTTTTACTCAGGTTCTCCTTGGTTTTTTTTTCTTTAAAATGACTGAACTCTCCCAATATAGTAGGAGTCTTATGACCCAGGCTTATTCCTCCAAACCAAAAGTAAGCTAAATTTCAACATGACAACATTGCACCCGACTTTCAGGCAGTTCGATTAGGCTCAAATTTGGACGATTGCAGTTGGAATCAGTGCTGCAACAATTAAATTCAGCATTTTAGCCCTCTGCCTCGAAATGGGCTATGGATCATAGGTTACTGGGCTACTTTAGCCTAGCGTGTTTTGCAACTTTTCTCTGTTTTTTTTAACAGGCTCTAGAAGCGCTGGACCAATTCCACATAAAAGACCGGGCAAACCGAAAGCAATATTTTTATCTTTCTTACCTTGAACCACCAATGTCCATCAGTCCAACGAGTGCAAAATCCTCACTAAAGGTTGCAGTGGAGGAGCAACAGTTCGCAATTGTCATGCACCCTGTTATGCAGCGGCTGACTGAAGTGAAATGGAAATGGTTCGGCAAGTTAGGTGCATGCGTTCATTTTACGCTTAACCTTCTGTTCTGTGTTACATGGACTGCCTTGATATGCTCACTGCCCAATGACATCAAGGATCTGTACACTCCACTTGGGAAAAAGTCCTATCGCATTGTGTTAGAAATAGCAGTTATATGTGTATTGTTTTACTGGATGATAAACGAATACATGGAATACAAAAACTCGATACGAGAACGTGACGAGTACAGTCGCTGGCGGGAGAGCGAGCTTATACGGGACTTGAAATACTGCCACCCAAGATGGCCGGAGGAAAGGGCCTATATCGAGCGTGAAATAGCAGAGCTGGGAGACTTGAAACCAAGTTACCTCGTTGATTGGTGGAATTATTTCGACTGGTTAACATACGCATTTATAATAGGCACAGTTATCTGTCACGTGGTTTCGGTCGCGAAACAGTCAACGAGTGCGTTTCGCGCAGAAAAGGGCGTGGGCTCTGCCATGCTCGTGTTGCAGTGGACGCGGCTCATGAAATTCGTACGCGCGTTTCATCCACTAGGTCCTTTCGTTGTCATACTCAGACATGTTATATCTGACACCGGGCGCTTTGCATTTCTTTTCTTCATCTTCTACATTCCATACGCTGCATCTTTGTGGGTTTTATTTGGCAAAAGATCCGTAAGCGGCTATTCCAACTTTGAAGAACTTGCGTATAATTTGTTGCAGATAACTGTTGTCGGCGATTTTGGGTTCGAAAATTTAACCGCAGTTGACGGGAGGATGGCGCGGTTGCTCTGTGGTACTTATATCGTCGTAAGCGGAATCGTATGCTTAAATCTATTCATTGCTCTCTTGTCTGATACGTTTCAGCGCGTATACGACAACGTGCAGGCAAACACACAAATGCTACGAGCGTCGAGAGTATTGAACTTTGAAGATAATTTTGCTCCGAAACGGAGAGAGAAATATCAACATAAAATTCAAATGCGCTGTTCGCCGGAAGTTAGTTATTACGATGACGATATGACGGATCCGTCAGAGACGGAGCTGAAAAGAATGACCCATCAGATAAAAGCAGAAATCGACAATGTGAAGAAGTATCTCCATGATAAATTCGGAACCATTGAAGAAGATCATGAAAATAATCAGCGAAGCACAAGACAAGACACAGCAGAGGAGAACGATTTAACGTCTATTAAACAGGAAATAAATGTTCTTAAGTCAAATCACGAGCATTCGGTTAAGATTATCAATATGCAATTGATGTCAATCAATTCGATGCTGTCAGAGGTCCTAAATAAGAAAAAGAAAGGGGGGACAAGAAAAGGAACAGGAAAATCTCGCACGGAGGAGACGTCAACAGCAGATGTCCACAGTAAAGTTGTTGCTGTTGCAACCGATGTCTCTGAATCAAAACGAGTCACACGCGTAAGATGATCCTTGGGTAAAATGAAGAAGGAGTAAGGCTTGTTATAAAAGAAACATTTAACAGCAAATGCTGTAAAAGTTGAGTCAAATGATATTGAAAGAGATTTTTGAAATGAGCCCCAAAAGAGCTTCGAAAAATTTTTGATCCACTTACTTCCCATTGAAATGTTTCCGACAGTAAGGTTGAAATATTAGACAACGAGTATAGAACGCTTGGTTGTGTAGAGATGGAATACGATACACATCGTTTAAACAAATCGAGAAGGTGGTGACAGCATACGATTTTGTGACTTTTTGAAGAATTTTTATTTCTATAAATTTTAGGTTCTTAAATAATTTGAAATTTTTATCATGGACCCTTGAAGGACATTCTTACTGACCGGGCAACTGTGTCGACAATTAGGATTCATGCACTTCACAGAGACTGGTAGAAGCACGGAATCTTATCTGCCTATTCATTAACGAGAAAAATTACTTTGTTGATTTTCTCGAAAGCTGTTCTTGATTGAAAAGTTGACAGGGGCCGTTTAGCCTTCAATTTTCAAAGGTAGCTCAAGTTCCAAACCTCGTCTAATCCCGCACGTAGTTGGTGTCTGTGTTAACTGTCAAGTTCCAATTTCAGGTGTTACAAATGTAAACTGTTACTCTTCATGTCTATAGTGTCGTCTGCTGTTCGTTTATATTTAGATTTCAATTCATTAATGACTTATTCTTAAGTATAAATGAAAAATTTCATAGTAAAGTAATGTATGTTTGGTATGTAAACTTTTTGTAACTATTATGTTAATACTGTGACTAAACATGAGAAGTGAAATTCAGCATAAACCCGCATTTAAGAACCTCAATTTGTAAGAAAGCAAGAGCTATCATCTTGGAGGATGATTTTAAGAAATAGACAAGTCTGCTTTAAAACATGGGGGAGAAGGCAATGGTTCGCTAGTAGCACGAGAAATACAAAGAAATCTAGAAATGAAGCGAAAAGATGAATTTCACAAACGACGAGTCTGTGAGAATGAAATATTTCTCAAAAACTGAAAACAAAAACATGATACAGTAGGCATTTAGACGTTCAAAATGTGTAAAATATGAAATTTTGCAAGTCAGATATTAATGTGAGATACATGCGGAATTTTTGAGCATGGTTTTCCAATTGTTTAAATATACCGATTCCCAGACAAAAAAACTTTCAAATATCTTATGTAGCAGATAAGAAACACCGCAATACGCTGAGAATAAACAACAATTAATACACATAAATCAGTTAAGGCTAATATTTCGAAAAATTAGCCTTCACTGATTTACGTGTATCTATTGTTGTTTATTCTCGGCGTATTGCGGTGTTTCTTATTTGCCACATTTTATCTACTTTTCGCCGCAAGAACTCCTTGGAGCCCGTCGAGCAGCCTGCTACAGTGACCTTTTCTTCATCCACACAAATATCTTACTGTTGTCAAAGGTAATTTGCTGAAAAACAAAACTAAGCCTCGAATAAAATAAAAACCAAGCTTCATTGGACAGACGCGATTCCAAGAAATCTGCTATTTGAGCTAGTTTAGTGACGTCACGATTTTCCTTTACTTCCAAGTCAGTTGAGAGAATTTTTCACTCAAAAGGAACTGACCTAGGTATCATTACTGTTGTTTTATACTGTCGGAAACAGCTTGGAATGCTGTATAGATTTCTTTGTTCTCTGAAAGGTGAAGTCGCAATGTTTTTGGGTCTTTCTTATCCCCAGCAAAGACGTAGAAACCAGAGGGCACAGAGGGCACAAGGGGCGCATGCCCCCAATTTTCAGAAATAGAGACAAAGTACACATTTGAAGCTCATGGAGTTGCCCCTTTTTGACGACACGTGTCCCTATGAATTCCTTCCTACATCTATGATCCCCAGCTTATCAATAATTTATTAATCCTGGCAACATTCCTGTCCATGTACTTAACATTTCATACAGGGGTGTAGCTAGCAGGGGTGTAGGGGGAGTGACAACCCCTTTTCTTTGTTAGTTGGTCGGCAAATCTTCAGTTGGTCCACAAATCTTTAGTTTGTCGGTAGGTTAAACAGCAAGCAATACCAGTGATCTCATAACATCAAACGCCGACACAAGCAAGAACCACATAGCAATGTCTAAATAAGACTTGACAGTGAAGTTTTAAAAGCGAGAAATTGGAAGCGTTTTAGTAAAACGTCAAAAGTTTACATCATTAAATGCACTACTATAGACGAAGGTGGATAGACAGCAGGCTGTTCTGCCATACGTAGATGCAAAACTAGTTCATTTGGCTCAGAGTAAATCTTTCAAATTGATATTACTATACAAAATGGGAATAAATACAAAAACCTATAGTGTAAAAAGCTGTCCTAATTTACTTAATATATTATCGATACATTCAGTCAATGATTGTAAATAACTTTTGAAATCTTTGTCCTCTTCATTGTTTATTTCATTTTTCAAATTTTCCCTAACTTTAAGCAATGTTGTTCTAAGGTCGTTCTTGTTGAAGATAAGTTTACAGTCCTCTGCTGATGCCGAAATGGCAGCTAAAACCTTTTCTATGCTGTCATAATCTTCGGTATTGAGTTGTCCTGGAAGCAATGCACACCATCCTCTTTTGATCAAAGCCTTCATCAAAGGAGTGCTAAAAAGAGAATCATGAATCGTGAGGTGAAAATACTCAAACAGATAAATTCTATAAGTTATACTGGCATTGTGTTTAGAGAAGGCTTGTCATATCAACTATCAAGCCTAGCAAAGGGCCTCCTAATACTGCAAAACATCCAAAATGTGCGTTGTTATCTATAATTTTTTAAGCGATTGTGATAAAAAATAAACATTCTTTTTGCTTTCATTTTAAATAAAAGGCCATTACCCATTTACCCCAACCACTTGGCAGTGGGACATTATATGACAAATGGTGCCGAAACTGTTTAGCTATACTATTATAGACCCCCTATATACAGAATATATACCAAGTTTAAGAAGAATTATATTACTTTATAGTAAAAATGAATCATTCCCTCAAGCTTTGTTTTTTAAAAAAAACTCTCTTAAGGTTTGCAAAAGTTCAAATTTATACAAAGAATTTGATGAATATTTTTTAAAGAACTGAGAACTAACCTTTCATCTGCTGTCATCTTTCCATTTTTGACCATCGACACTTTGACATCGCTTTGCTCAACAATCAAATCTGACACAAGGGTGACTGCCTTAATCTTTAAAGCCGTCGATTTGTCAGTTTCAATACACTTTAGCAAGATATTCAAACCATCAAGTTTTAGAAAGACAATCTGGGACTTGGAATTCGTCCTTATGAGGGCAGACAATGCGAACAGGGCAGTTTTTCGCAAGCGTTCAGTTGACGAGTATGAAATCTGCCTTAAAAGAAACTGCATTGCTCCATGTTCCAAAGCTGCTAGTTGAGCTTTAGGGTTGCTATAAAACACAATTAAAGAATTCATTCCTACTCTGGTTTTGAATCTGAAGTTTAAAGAAACAATTTTAAATAAATGATTTTAATACAGATGTTTAAACAGAATGACTGTTAATCCTAAGATATAAACACGTGGAAACAAAGTCCTTAACATTGGTGCATTAGTTTGTCCCTGCGACTATTTTTTATGTCTATGTCATTCATTCTGTCATTTCGCTTTCGTTCAAATTCCATTTCTTCATGATTCTCCTTCGACTTGTTTACAATGTAGCTAATAAATTCTGATTTATTAAAAATATATAAATTAGTAACATACCGAAGAAAGAAAAAAAGAAACAAATATTGAGTTACTGCTCCTCCAAGAGGACATGATTAGGGTTGCAAATTTTTACTATTATTATTTTCATTATTATTTTTATTATTATTATTATTTTATTTTACTGGCCCAACTGTTCGTTTTACCTTAACTATCTGTTATTGTTGGTTCCAGTAGAGACTCTTATCTATTGTTAGCCTGAATGTTTTCGCTTGTTTACCATTTCGACGTCATCTTTGTCAATTTTGAGGTTACTAAGTTGTTTGCTATTTGATGATCGTTATCTTATTGTGTATTCTTTTATGAAGCTATGATTTATTATGCTTATGTTTAAGTTCAAGCTTATGTTGTTTATGTTGTTTATGTTTATGTTCGCTTATGTTTATGTTTATGTTCGCTTATGTTTATGTTTATGTTCGCTTATGTTTATGTTTGTTTATGTTAATGTTTATGTTTGTTTATGTCAATGTTTATGTTCATGCTGCTTATGTTTATATTTACAGGCCTTTCCGGGAAAGGCGTGCGATGGGAAGTGAGTTTTATCGCACGCCTATTTTAAAATTAATCGCTTGTTTTTTACAAAAGCGCAGGAAACCTATAAGGTGACAAAATGGCCCTGAATCAAGTTATGTACAATGTTAAACCTGCAGTGATTCCCTTTTTTGCTTGATCAATTTTCTGAAAATGTCTTTTCATTTGCTTAAATTCCTTCTGAAATAGACGAAAAACACTTCCGATTTTTTTGCCTTCAACTTACTTTAGAAATTGTTTTTGATGTTGCCTTGTACACAGGAGATTCATTATGTTTTTTTCTTTTGTCTAGTTTCAAAATGTTCCCTATGTCCGAAAGTTTTCGAAACTTCGGAAGCGCTTATATTGGTGAATAGAGACAATAAAGCTTGTGTGACGGCATAAAAATATACTTTTAGAAATTTTAATTTTGTACCACATTACTGAATAGCACACGACGAATAACCTTTAAATATGCAATATCAGTTAGACATGTTACAAATTGGGAGAGCTTTGGCCAAGAAATGATATTAAGTTTACCACATATTGCTGCTATTATGGCATGGTTCATCAAATTTAGAACAGAGACAAAAATACAATGATTTGACGGGGAAAGAGCCTGTGCTCAAGTTGCCATATCTCAGCCAGTTTTTAACACATTAACTCATTTCACACATTTAGAGATCTTTCAGGTTAAGTAACTCAAGTTAGAAATTGTAAAAACAGCTTGTGTACCGTAATAACAATGAATTTGCCAAGTCAGTTTGTATAAACTTTGAAGCTCTTCCTATGTAACTGGCCTGCTTACTGACTTACAACCCCATTTTCTAATTTTTCAATCAGAAATTTAATCCTAATTTCTTAGAAAATCTTTCTTAATTCTTTCTAATTTATAATTCCTCCCCCTTTCCTTCCAATCGGCCAAAATTCCCGAAGAAAGGAATAAATCCTTCCAAGTGGAAGCACTGCTAAAAAGAGAGCAGTAAAGTTCTTCATCGTCTTCTCTCTGCATCGAGGCTCGCTAGGTAGAGCACATCTTTTTAGTTTCTGATTAGAGATGGAATTTTCATTTATAGCTTCTTCAGCTGGCTCTTGACGGTAATAAGTAAAACTTACATATATCGACCAGTACACACTCTAGTCCATCAATTTTTGCTGAGCGCCTATTCAACTCGTTCAATGGACAGTAGGCACGTAGCAAGATGGATTCCGCAGACCAAGCTACATCCCTTGAGGAAGACCTTACTATATTAAAAAAAGTAAAACCAAAGACTGTTAGAACTTATTTACGATCTTCAATTGATGATGGTGGAAATGAAAAGCGAATTGACAACTTCAAATTGACCACTACACTCCTCCGATTTGCAAAACTTAACTGTAGAACAGGATACAGGTGTACCCTCCTGACTGACATAAGCAGTTTTCAGCGAATTTGGCAGATAATTTTTGCCCCTACCTACCTACGTCAATGTAGAATTCGAGCTTTCACAAGATTGGCAGCCAGAACCTAAGCTCCACTACATTTTGTTAAGGACGAGTCCTTTAGACCAAACAACTTGACAGCACTTGCAAAATATATCAAAGACGAAGTATTGAAGTGTGCCCACCACAAACTTCGATCTTTGGGCCCGCTTTCCAAAGGCTAAACTAATGTTACTGCACTCAAAGAGACCGCACTTCAACACCTTGATAAGTTGCCAATTTTATTCAAACATTTTTCTAAAGACATGATTAATGACATGACACAATCAAATACCGAGCACGGCTTTCTGATAAAAATAAACGAAAGCTACAAGCCTGACACTCACTACTTTCAATATTTCTTCTGGCTAACTTTGCTTCAGTTAAAACTGCAAATATTTTTTGGTAAAATTGTGGGAGAACTGAAGAAATGAGTTGAGAAATGAGGTCTTTATGGTTCCATATACTATGCAACTGGACATTTGTAGAAACAAGACAAAACATCAAAAGCACCATCACACCCCTACCACAGTCAAGGAGTGCAAAATGCCACCATTGTGCTAATTTACTTCCAGGAAGACCTGATTGATGTTTTTT